AGGTCTACTGGGATATGGTTTTCACATGCAGGTAAACACTTAAAATAATTTGTACTTTCCCTTTCATTAGATTGTGTTAGTCTTCCCACCATTACTTACTTTTTTTAATCAATTGCCTCATACATACTCTTGTTAATCTCATTTGTGCACTAGAATACCAAAATACACTTTTATTTATTTTAATAAAATTAGTAGTAGCAGTAATCCTTATTTATATACCGCCTTTTCACTGCAGATCTGAGTCTCAAAGCGGTTTACAATTGTTAATTACGGGCATTTGTCTCTCACTCCACACAGAGATAGGAGCTGGGTCACCAGTACAGGAGGCACATGCCAGACATGCATATTGGACATATTTTTGTGGTAGGGGAAACCGGAGTACCTGGAGGAAACCTACACAGATACGGGGAGAACATGCAAACTCCACTCAGAAAGGCTCTGGTCCGACCGAGATTCGAACCCAGGACCTTCTTGCTGAGAGGCGAGAGTGCACTCCACTCAGCCACCGTGCCGCATTACTTGCTGGGTGCATGTTTTTGCTACGCTCGCCACTTCTTGGACATTTCAAATCTATGTCTGTAGATCAGTGGTTCAGTTTCACCCAGATGACCCTGGAACCTGGTACATCCTGTCCCTCACTTTTAAAGTATTGACAGTCAGTATAAAAAAAGACCTTGAAGTGAACACATATCGAATGAGACATTTCAAAATTCTATCATTCTGTTGAAATGGGTCCAAGCAAGTTTCAAGGTCCTTGTGTTAGTATCCATCCATTGCACTCTTTTGTATAAACTAACACATGTTTTGGCTTGAGAAAATGGTAGTATCTAGGCTACACTTGAGATGCAAGCTAGCACAACGTTGCATAAGAGTTTCCAACTGCCATTTAGGAGAAAACACATGGCCTCTCTGAACTCTTACGGCAACACAAACAAGACAATTTAATGACTTAATACTCTTTATTATTGAGAGCTGATCCACAAAGACAGTTGACAGTTAGACAGGACTCATGTTGCAATGCTGTTACCGCCAATAATGAAACCTCTCCCCTATTCCCATCTTGTCTCCATACACGAACAATGGGGAACTCCACTAGACTGTCTGGTCTTCTAGTTTTAATGTCAGTGTGAATGTGGACCCATGCACAGACTTGCCCTCCTTTAGGCCCAATCAGAAGGACAGGTCTGTCACCAGGACCCAATGAAAGAGCAGACCCTGCAGAGGCTTGGTGAAAGAGGAGGTGCATCAAAAACATTGTGTTATGTAATAACTTTGATTTAGTGGATGAGTGATATGAGTAATGCGATAGCTTATTTGAGAACACAAATTTAACTTTGAACTTGTTAAATGTTTAAAGTCAACTTAGAATAGTATTAGTTTTGGATTTGCTTATTAGTAAACTTAGAGAAGTATTAGCTTTGGATTGTAACCGTGTTTGAACTGAGTGAACGGCAGTAACCTGGGAGCCTCTGCAGCATGAAGGCTCTGTCCGCTTTGTCACGTCTCACGACAATAAAGTATCTGGGTCAAGAAGGGTCCATGGTTCACATTTCACATAGTCCAGCATATTACTAATACATGGAGGTGTTATAATACAATTATCATAGACATATGAATAGTTTATTTGCATTAGATATAATGTAAAGGGCTTACGATGTGCCCTTTCCCAAAAAGATGTTTGAAAAGCCAGCTCTATTTTAGTAAATAAAGTGTCACCCCTTCTTGAGCAAATTCTTTTAAATTGACTGCCAAAGACTAGACATGTTAAAGATTATAGTTCATTTTCGATTTTTGAAAACTAACTCTTCATATATTGACTGTCTCTGGGTGCAATCACACATGTTGGTCTGATCTGTCTTTGTTGATGTGAAACAACATGTGAACATGAAACATGTGTCCACTAGTCACCTAAGTTTAGATGTTTTGAACCAGTAGAAGCATTTTTACACCTAAATGAACCAAACTTCATCCAGTTATAGTGAACCAGACCAATGAGTGAATGAATAGCAGAGTAGTACTCACCACTATAGAACTCCCATTAGGATTCACAGTTTACCAGAACAACGCATGTGACTCGCCTCCACTTCAATTGTGAGCAAAGCCTTTTAGGTCTTAAATCTATATTTGCAGTAATATCAGTCATCAGGCAGTATTACAGTGTTGAGTAACACCTATTAGTCGTATGGAAGTGACTAGTGCCTATTCATGTTTCCATTAGTCTTTACCAATTCATTTCAACAGTATGTCATTGTGTAGTATAATTGTGATTTGTTACAGGCAGGATCAATAATAATACTAATATTGGCATTAAATTGTTGTGACATTGTTTTATCCATTAAATTGTACAAATAATTCCAGAATGCATCAATAGAGTTCAAATGTCATTTACAACAGACACGTCAAGTGTGGTGAAACACCTCAAGATGTTAATTGTATACAAAAACTTATTTATTTTATTGAAGTCAAATGGATTTTCCAATGAAATTCCACTTTGTTATTGGCCCGTGATTTTTAAACAGTGGCTGCATGAATGCACTTGTAAGAACTGTTGACTGTACAAAGCACATCTGTTTGTTCGTGGTTAAACACCGGACGTAGGGAGTGGGTCTAGGCCCAGTGTTGGGAAAGTTACTCGTTACTTCTTTAAAAAGAAAGGGACCTCTTTACTTTACTTTTGCGTTACTGTTATCCTGCTCGACTTTGAGCAGAACTGTTCTTAAAACGTGTTGTGGTAGTTCTTCTATGACAGATATTTCTTTCAAGCTCTTTATGACCAAAAACACCACAAAGCAAGTAACACAGCTCTCACTCGGAAGAATCTCTTTAGGACCACTCCCTCTGAAGCCAGGTGACAGGTCTCATCTCATTTACTCGAGTACCTGATCCGCCAGCACCAGCCGATGGTCACAGCTGCCCGTGGTAAATAAAACGTTGTTACGTTACTATATTGTCGATAGTTAACGCTTTACCTTTCCTCGTAAAAAGTAGTTTCGTTAGTGTAACGCGTTACTTACCCCCAACACTGTCCAGGCCACATGTGGAAAGTTTAGAAAACACTTCCGTGACTCTTGGTGTCAGTTGAGCCAAAATGAGACATTTTTAGATAATTGGAGTGTTCCTACATGAATAAGACACCATTATTTACCATTTGAACCCGTTCTTCTAAACATTGCGCACACTTGACCCAAAAGTACACTTCTTAAATCATGATTGACATACAATTCCAGACTGTATTGATATTGGATACATCCAACAGTAATTTCTTCCTCCACAAAATCAGCAGTTTTCACTGAAAAAATGTAAGACCAAACTTTCCAAACTCGACCCAAAGAGAATATTAGTAGACAATGGTGACCTTTTTGTTATAACTGCAAATACAATTCAAATATTAGACCTCTGCATGTTTATATGAGACACTTGTCCTCCTAAACCTCTGTCACTTTGGGGAGTGGTGTTCAAGGTTTTGCGAAAACTGCAAGACAAAGGCTACTGTGTTTTAAGTTACAACATCATTATATACTTTTTCATTCTGTGATGGCAGTGAAAGAGCATTATTACTTAAGTTGGAAAAAAAGAAATACAATATATACATAATTATGCAGATGATAGAAGAATTGAAAAGCTTGTTTATAAACAGTCTGGCAACATCATATACTTGAATGTTTGTACAGTGGCCATAGCTGCCCAGGGACAGAATGACTGAAGAGAGACAGCCAGTCCTCCGACCACCACCATCACATTCACACTGCTGCATGTTTTAGCTCAGACGGAGTGGAAAATGACAAGACAGGACTTGTCTAAGAGACATGGAAAGAATGATTCACAATTGATCAAATCCTAATGTAAGTCTTCTCCAGTGTACAGATCCATTGTAATAATCACACAAGCAAACACAAAGTATAATCTTATGGGATTCACAACCATGCTTTATTCTTGTTGATTTCTCTAAAAAAAAAAATCAAATAAAACTTGTTTTGCCTCCGTCTTGCTTTCTTCAGCTCAATATTTTATTAACATCTTTAGTCTGTTCATAATAAATGTGTTAGTTTGAGACTTTAAACCAAAACTTCATTGATTGTCAACACAAAATCTTTTTCAGCACCAGTACAATAAAACTGTACTTTGAGCTTTCTTGAAACACTGTTTAAACACAGGAGCAAAGGGAATCTAAAACGCACACTTGAAAATGAAGCACCAACCATACAAATGTCTCTTTGATACACTTGTCAGTTATACAAGAGGTCAAATATATTAATTAATGACTATTAAATTAAGCAACAAACAAACAAAGTAAAGAAACACTGCAGCACAAAGCACTCTCCAAACACTGAGTAGTGGGACAGTCGTGAGGGTATAATGTGTACTGGACTCCAGAAATCCACAGGACCCTTGTCAAAGTTCACAGAGTGAAACACTCGCACATAATCAGAAAGAAGGAGAACCTCTCTGGTGAGGTGAAGAAAACACATGACAAAATGAATGGGCGTAATTAAACTGAGACTAAAGAGCCTTACGTTTGAATACTATGCACCACTGGCTCTTACAGGGGCTCAGCTCTGTTAGCGGGTTTTTTTTTTACACAAGATTTCACCAAGAGAAATGCTTTGGATTCTATCTTCTCAATAAAATTCACCTTTACACTGGAACAAACAAAAGTTAAAGCAAAATCCATCCCTTGCCATAAGAATACATTTATAAAATCAAATGTGTCAACCCTGATGGCAAGATACACCTATATGCACACATGTACAGAACTGTAAAAAAGGTTACCTAATGGTGTATTCAAATATACCTATAGTTAGGAACCTGAAAGCTGCTTTCCAGTACTGACCACTCCTCTGCAGGTCCTTATGTGTGATCACTTAATCACCTTCTGGCAGAGGTTAGAGGTTATAGGCGGGGGTAAAGACATTATGGTTGGTGACCCGCGACCATCCGTGAACAGACGGGTTTTTTAACAACTGCTGGGAGAAAATGCATGTCCCATTTCTGCTTGTAGGCTACCGGCTACGTTTCCTTGTGTTGGTTAGTTTGTCCTCTTTTGGCTCCTCCTCTTCCTCATTGTCCTGAAGGATATGAAGAGATGAGCCCAAAAGTATCTGGAGTTCAGGCACACAACGCACTAGTTCCACTTGTCCCTCATCCGGCTCCTCCTCTTCAGCGTCATCATCATCAGTGTCTTTGCTCAGAACTGTGAGTGGGGGTTCCAAAGCCGGACTCACCTGACTCACAGAGACCTGCTTCAGGAGCTCTGCATAAGGCAAACGCACCACCTCCAAGTGTGGATAGCGCGCCTTAAAGGTTCTTGTGGACAGTTTCACTCGCTTTAAGACATCAGTCAGAAGGAACCAGTTACAGAACCTAGTGAGAGAGAGAGAGATGTGTCAGAACATAGTATTCAACAATAAAGTCAAAACTTTCACATCCAATGGGGAATAGTCAAGAAAGATTCTTGTCTATTGGGAAATGGGTTGATTATATTCTGTAGGGGAACCATTTATTTAAATATAGAACAATTGTTAATAATAATAATAATAAGAAGAAAAAACAGTTCACCCTATTTTACACTAAAAAAATTCACACTCACTTTATGAAACAAAGTTCAGTATTAAACACACTTATCATGTATGTTTGTGACATATTTTGAGTCTATGATTCATACACAGTGTCACGTAAACTTACCCCTGTGTGAGTGACACCTGAACGTGATAACAAGGAAGCAGAGGCTCAGAGGAGAACTCAAATACAAGACAGTCTTTGTCTTGGTCGTGGTCCTTATCCGTCCTCACACCTCTGTCCTGTTCAGGGTCAGAATTCTGCTCCGACAACAGGAAGTCCCAGCACGGCTCCTGCTCAGTTTCTATGAGAAGCAGAGAAACGACTGAAGTGTAAAGCTCAAGCGTCCCCTAGTGGACATCATGCAAAATACAAGCATGCGAAATGTTCATACTTGTCCCACACTCAAAATTATTCCTTATAATCAATCATTTTCTCTAGGAATAATTCAAATAAATCTAATCTAATACAATCACACAATTTTACATTTTATTAATACTTTTGCTAACATTAAATGGTGGAAAAACACATTCAGTAATAGGGTTTCCTACCAAACAGAGTGCTACTATAGAAATCCCAATGAAGACCTGGGTCTTGTTCACTTCGGCCTTGCAAATCTGTGAAGTAATCTGCATTAAAAAAGATTACATTAGAACATTAGAAATATGTGACTTAGAACCCAGAAGAATAATAACTATAAAATAGCAGAAACTCCTTGCCTGATAGGAACGTCTTCATGCTTGAGCTATGAGCCAGTTTGACAGGAGTCTGGCCAGAGTAGGTCGCTAATGTTGGATCTGCTCCATGATTTAAAAGCAACCAGACAATTGCCAAGTTATCACTCGCCACAGCATCATGTATAGGTCTGAAGAAAGAGCAAAGAGCACAAGTTTGTAAGCATTCAACGTTTAAGGAAACCTGCTGCAGTATAGTTATAATCATTATAGCGTTGTAATATAAACGTGTAAAGGAGTAATTTTGTTATTGGGAGTGGAAAAACCATTTGAAAGTATAAAGTACATGTAAGTACTTAAGGTAGTAGAACCTGCAGCTACTGAAACAAATATTAATTCAAAGTCATAAAATCTATTGTATATTTATGTATTTTGTATGATGTAATGCATGTATTAGGGATGCATTTGAATTTCTATAATATTTGAAAATTAAAATGATGAAATAAAGGACTTTTGTTTTAGAAAGCTTTTAGAAGTTGTTTTTGTTGTTGTTGTTCTTATTATTTATGTATACACATATATTTTTGAACTTCTGGACCCTTTTTTTTTTTTTTTCAAATATTTCATCAAAAAGACAATTAACGGGATACAAAACGTAACAGTAATGTTTTTCAAAGTGCTCTGAAAAACACCCGTTTGCAAAGTATTATTCATTGATGATTTGGTGGTAGTAAGCTACTAATGTAGCCTCAGCTGCCCTGAGACACACTATTGGAAGACCGACACTAGCCCTTCATGCAAGAGGCCAACTGATAGGCCCGATACAGATTAACACATTGTCAAGGAGGCAGAACAACAATAAATATTGGAATAATACAAAGTCCAACACTTAACTTTGTTTAAATGCCTGGAGCACATGTTTATCTAACTAAACAAATAGAAAAAAGAGCTTCCACTGTATAGACTGGATGTCATGTAACAGAAGAATTGGACAGGTCTTTCAGGTGAAAGGAAGCACCTGGTAATTTCATGAGTCTCCCATCACAGTACTGACCATGCTTAGCCTGCTTAGATTCTGATATCCCAAGAGATGGGGCTTTGACAATGAGTATTATCCAACAGAAAACAGAAAAGGCAACAGCCCTCATCTCATTGGGAGGTTGGGTGAGTCCTGACCGCAAGGGCGTAGGTTTGCGTGGGGACCATGGGGACATGTCCCCACCAATATTTGGTGAGGACTAAAAAGTCCCCACCAAAATGACATGATGTCCCGTGACCCGGACGGTCCGGGACACATGTCTTCGGTTTGTGCACACGTCGCGCCTCCTCCTCCCCAGCCGCGGCGCTCAGTGAAAGCACAGCTCTAACATGGTACTGAGCTCGGACCATATGCAGACAGAACCATGTTGCAAGTGCGGGTCTCCCTCGTATCTCCCCCGTTTCTCCCCTGTGTGTCTCTGACATGTCTCTCCCCTGACTCTTCCCAAAGCGCAACCAGCGCTCCCGAAATTAAAGCTTGGATACCTAAATTTTCCATTGCGTTTACGATGCATGCTGGTTGTGCGCAAAACACACCACAACAGGTCATTTAAGTTTTTATTTTGCATAGTTGAGAGCCCTGTGAGTCATTACTTGCCTTTTTGGGTTGAGAGTGGAATAAAAAAAAGAAAATATAGAAAAATCCACACTGTTACTTATTGCCAAACTCTTGTTAACTCATTGTATTGAGAAATACTATGTAACTTTTGACATTGGCCAAGTTATATAAATGATTCTGCAGTTCATGTATATGAATGTCTGTTTTTGATTGTCTATACCTTCTTATATAATTTAGAAAAAATGCCACCGCCACAAAAAAAGATAAAAGATATCAGAAGCTTTTTTAACAGTTGGAAAGTAAGTAAGAGAAAGCACAAGTAATAGCAAATTATGAATTGTGATGATTAATCTTCTGTTAACATACATAGGAAACTCAACCACCAAGAGAGAACAATATAGGGAATGTTGAGGTAGAAGCAACAGGCCCTTCAGTGCATCAGGTGAGGTTGGAATTTTGTAGGTTTGCATGGGACTATGAATTGTTTTTAGAGATTGATCGTATATGTCAAACAATGTAGTGAGCTACTCACTGTAGATTCTAATTCAATATTTTCTCCTCTGTTTTTATTTATTATAGGAAATTGAAAGATCAGAGCATGATTTATTTCAAGTATCGAGAGCAGTTCCTGAACTGTTAGAGCCTCAGGTGAGGGCTATAGATTTGGATTAGGTTTAAGTCAGTATAGAATCATACTAAAGTTAAAGAACATCATTTGGTTGGAAATTACCTATGCCAATTACAACATATTTTACTACTATAATGATGCAAAAAGTGTTTTCTGAAATCTTTTACTAAATATAGGACACTCTGAGAGATATAATGGAAATTCAAGAAGGAGATAAAGACAAGGACAAGACAGGACTCCAGGTGAGGTTAGGATTAAGCAGTTAAAATCTTAGACCCATCAACCAATTCTAGTTTCATGAGATATTTAGCGACTGGTGTACCATGCCTAGGTTTCATTTTATTCAATGTAGAATGTGTGTTTTTATTAATACCATAAAGGAAAGTCAGACAAACAGGGAATGTGCAGTACTGGTAGAGGATGAGGAAGTGGCTTGACCTTCAGGGCTTCAGGTGAGGTTGAAAGTATTTATTTGGTTTTGTTGGTGGTAGAAGGCAACACACTATTTCAAATATAGTGTGTGATTACACAACAAATTCTGGGGAAGAAACTCTGGACCCCGTGTCAATGGGTGTAAACTCAGGTCGTAGTGAATGTCCCCACCAAGATTGGAACCAAACCTACACCATTGCCTGACCGTCATTAGTTCTTGGAGAGGCTCACATACTTCCATCCTGATCTTGCGACTTTTTTGTTGTTTAGTAAATGTATATGTATATATCCATGTTGAGAGTATTTGTTTCAGCAGACTCTAAATTGTTTGATTTGGATAGAGATGACATTTTACTACCAGAATGCAGTTTATGCAGAACTAAATCAGTAATTACAACAGGTTAAAATATAATTTTTTGCAAATGTAGACTCTGTTGAGACTAATTTGGCGCAGAAAATCTCTTTGTATTTAATACACATGGTGAGCATAAATGCCACTTATTGTGTATGTCTAATCTTGTATTATTTATGTTTAAAATTCTACAAGGTATTGTACATGATTTTCAGTTTTGGACATCCACTTACCGTGTCCCATCCTGAGCGCTGCAATTCACATCAGCTCCATTCTTTAGCAGCATCTGGACGATCTGGACCCAACCTCTGGAGGATGCCTCATGCAGAGCGGTGTAACCAGCATTGTCCTGGCGGTTCACCTCCCGAATGTCCTTTTCCAGGCAGTACTGAACTACATCCTGAAAGGAGGGCCCATGAAAATTGAGGAATTAATATCGACATGGACAAGGCCAACCCCCTAGCTGAATAAAGCCCAAATAGAAGTGCTCATGGACGACGTTTTCCTCCAACTCGCTTATTTACTTCCAATGAAAAATTATCTTAGTAACCGTTTGTGTCCCAGTCAGCATTTAGGGCTTGAAACATTTGTGATTTAAAGCTCTCTATCATTCTGTATGACATTGTCTCTGTAAATTTGAGCAATAGGATTGACCAATCATCAGATGCCTTCATCATCAGGGGAAACCATTTTATTTCAGCTTTGTAATGACCTGTGTCCTGAAACTTATTTGTTATTATGCATACAGCATTGCACAAACAGGCCGACCTAGCATTTTGGAAGGAAACGGCTGGCGCAGGAGGTTGGTCTCAGGGCTCGTTCCATTTGTCTGAAGCAGGACCTGCCCACTGCACGCCAAAGCGCCAGCCACTGGGTTGGGGCCAAAGCCGTCAGCTCAAAATAATAGCACAGCCAGCAGCTCCTGCACATCTGCATCACACCACATTTGGCTTTGGCCATGGGACCAAGACTGCGCTTCACAGTTACCCCATGCCTTTTGGTACACCTGTATATGCTGCTCCTGCTTTGTACAAACAGGTGCCCTCAGGATTCTACAAATGGCTCCTGGAAAGGTAAGCCCAGTAATCCAGAGTTTGAGAAGAGACTCCAGGCAGACATGCATGTTTGTAAAGGGCTTGGACAGTGGCCATGCCAGGTCTGATTTGTCAGAGCAATGGCGTCTTGAATGTGGAGGATGGCATGAATCGTTCTAAAATCAACTAAGAACTATATTTAGTACAAACACATTAAAATAAATTGTGGCTTAGATTAAGGGGTGACAGTGACTCCCACTGATATCTGCTGTTAACCCCACTTTGCCTGAAGCCCCTACTGACAGCTCAAGGCAATGTTCTCACTGACAGATCACCAATCCTCCAGTGGACTCACCACCGGCAAGAGGATCAGTAAGGGGCTTGTGCTATGTGAATTGGGTGGCATCTTTGACTGCCATCACCCCGACCCAGAAATGGACTAAGGGGAAGAAATTAGATCCCCGGCGTTGGTACAGTGCTAGTCAAACTCATCTCCTACGAAAGACCCTGCTGCCACCTGTGCTTGTGCAGGTATGTGGGGCGTGATCTCTTCCCATGTGCGGTTCACACATCCTGTGCGGATTAGCTCTCTGTATCACGCACACACACACGAGTGGATGCGCCACATTTATGCCTCATGAAAGTGACAATAGCCTGTGAGTGACAGAGCAACCCATTTAGCCCCTTATGCCCAGAATGATTCTTTTGGGGAGGCACTCTGACAAACTGTTCTTTCTTATTGAACCAGAATATCCTTCCTAAAAGTGATGCAGAAAAACTGATCGACAAAAATGGACTACTGTAACAAACCCTGCTTGCAGCGTGCCCTAAATCCTCAGCTTCTTTTAATATAAAATAAAAGTTATAACATGGTATAGCCCCCCCTGCTACCTCCAAGACACACTAGTATCATATCAACCAAACAGAGCACGAAGCTGGTGATTCCTAGAGTGTCAAACAGCAGAATCAAAAGCAGAACGTTTAGCTACCAAGCTTCTATACTGTGGAATCAGCTCCCCATACACGTCAAGGAAGCAGGCACAGTCTCTACATTTAAAGCTTAAAACATTCCTCTTTAATTAAGCATGTGGCTACGTAGGTAAGATTTTGAAATACAACGCATTTAGACAGAAAGGGCAGAGGGAAGTATTTGCACAGATTTGTGCCAGATGTTCATGTTATTTCAAGGTTAAAAACACAAAAATATGATTGTGCATGGTATGTGTTCTTTAAAGGTTTAAATAAGAAAAAATATATAAAATTGTTTATAGAGGTCTATAGAGGACAATCTTCTATAAAATCATTTACGGTAATCAAAAACTCACCTGATAACCCAAACGAGCAGCACGTTGCAATAAAGTCTCTCCAGCATTTTTGTTGACAATGAGCCGGCGCACCTCAGGGGGAATGACCCTTTTGGGGAGGGACTCCGACACACTGTTCTTTCTTATTGACCCATTGACATTCGCTGGGGGTGATGGCAAACTTTTAGGTGAAACTGGAGGGCTGGCCACTTTCTTAGCATAACTGCAGTCTTCATCTGCCACCCGTGAACAACTCCTCTTTCCCAGCCGCTGCTTACAATTCACCTACAAATGTACAATTTAGTATGAAGATTAATCCAACCCAATTTGCGTCAATGAAGTGAGCAGAGATGAATGCGCGGCACAGAGAAAATATGACAGTAGTATGGCCACAAGAGGGCACTACAAACTAACTTTAGCTGAGGACTGGGTTACCTTTGGTTCATCACTGGGACTCAAGTGCTTGCTTTTGAACTTCCTCTTCCCTGAAGGTTTGTCTGTGCACTCTGGAGACTCATCGCGCTCATCATAGCACACTGCTGCTGAGCGGGACAGTGAAAGTCTGCGAGTGTCACGGCTGGACGCAGAAAAACTCTGGTTCTGCTGCAATTCTAAAACATGAATGTTTCGTTTTAGCAACTGTATGTTGTCTTTGACTTTAAAATATGCATTTTGATAAAATAGTTTTTTAAAATCAAAATAGTAAAAATTATCTATGGATTACATGGATTGCATTTTAGACTTGCCTTGAAGCTACAAATAATGACAAAATTTACCTGCTGTGTTCTGTTGATCTTGACTAAGCAAATCGTCTCCTCCACGTTGTTCTCCACCATCCACTTTGTATTTGTCAGTGATATAATCCCCAGTTTGATACTTCTTGTTTTTGCAGCGTTGCCTCTTTCGGTTAGCAGCACTCTGTGTATTTGCGCTGGTGTTCTTGCCTTTGCCCAGAGCAGCTTGCTGTGGCAGAGGAGTTGAGCGCGGGCGTCCACGAGGTCGGCGAGCTGCCTGTGGTGGAGTTAGAGGTGGAGATATTGTAGGAGGGGGTGTAGATGGTGGAGAAGGAGTGGCAAACCCCCAAAGATCCCGTCGAGATTCATCCGTCCGCTGTCGCCCTCTCCTCAATCTGGGCACACACTCCTCTGTTGCTTCTTTATTTGTTCTTATCTGAACCTTTTCTTTATGAAGACTGTAGTTTTCATCTGCAACACAAAGATAACGATTTGCTCATTTGAAGGCTGCAGTTCTACTTGCTAAGCTTAATGGCAAGTTAGCACAATTATCGCGTCAAAGAAAATGCTTGATAAATGAGACCCAAAGTGACTTGTTTTTCTTACAGCTGGATTTTCTGTGGTGTATAACTGTGCATCTTTTACACAGCTCCAATGGGTAAGTAAAAACACAATCAACACAATCATTTTTCCCCACAACATTATCTTATAATAAATGTTTAGTGTTAAACAGACAAAATAGACAAACATGGGGAGTTCTATCAACTGACAACAATGATGACTGTAGGGCTGAATAATGGGACCACGTTGTAAACTATTTTCTATATAGTGAACTAATCTAATATTAGTTTACAGAAAGGATGTTGAACTGTGTTTCAGTTTTTTGTAATTACAGAGACATTAAACCACAAACTAGGTCAAAATATCTGGAATCAAACATTGAAAAGATTGCCATAATTCCATAATGGGATATCACATGAACGTAGCCTCTTCAGGATTATCGCTTTACTAAAAAAAAGTAATTTGATGAGGAAATAGCTTACCGTCTTTATGGGATGGCTGTTCAACATTTTTGGGACTGTCCCATGTCAAGTCAGAAAGTTGGCTGGCGATGACACGTACCTGCAATGTTAAATCAGTACATTTAGGCCAAGTTACACAATAGAAAACCCCAGTTTTTAGAAAAAAGTATTATTAACTACAGCAGTTACACGGCTCACACAAGAAAATATGATCTTATTAGTTCCATACACAGAGAGGAGGGGCCAAGAAGAGACCCCTCTTCCTCTCTGTGGCTGGGACAAAAGCAATGAGTTGATGCTATGAGCAAGAGGTATACATTTAATACATGGCTTTGTGTGTATACAGATACAATAAGAAAGAAGAACAACTATATAACCATATGATATAAAACATACCTTTTTATAGCAAGAAACTGCAATGCCATACGAGACAACTTGCTTTTTTATTTTTCCTGTTGTCTTTTTTGTTGAATCGACTGGTGAATGCAGTTTCTTCAAGCTCTTGGGACTTTCCTTCTTTTGTTTTTTACGAGGAGTTTTAGAGTTGATTGTATCATTGACTCCATTTGATTTCTCTGCAATTTCATTGCCTCGGTTTTCACAATAGCTTGGAACATTGGATTCAACAGTATTCTCTAATTTTTCGGGAGTTGATGTATTTGACAATCTTCTGTCCCTCTTCAGTATCTCCCCTTCCAACACCTGGGCCAGTTCACTATCCACTGTTTTCCCATTTATTGGTGAATTATTTTCAAAAACTTTAGCTTTGATAATAGGTTTAGAACAGTTTCTGTGTTCGTCTGGTCTGCTCTGTACCTCTTCATCACATGCCACAGGCTCTGTGGCATTTGTTAACTTTTCAAGTCTCTTTGTCACTTTAGTTGAATTCTTAGGAGAGCTAGGAAACCATTTCTCCACATTGTCTTGAGATTGAATGTCCTCGTTACCTTTTTCTTTACCATTAGTTTTCCTTGATGTAACATGCGGCAAGTTTCCATCACTTGCAATCATTGCTGTATCTAGAGACTGTTGTTTTACAATAGAGGCCAGATTAGACAGAGGAGATTGAATTTTCTCCCACTTATCTCCAGCATTTTTCGATTCATCAATGACTGGGGTTTTCTTTGGGACAAATGATTCGTGTCTTTTTTGAAGTTTCAAAGGTTGTTGTGAATCTTCTGCCTGATGCCAAGCAGGGCTGACAGCAGTTGTAGGGTATGTCACTGCCATGCTGCCACTTGCAGATTTTGGGATCTGTTTATATGCAGAGCTGGACTGAGTCACATTTATTGATGCGGTGGAGAGACACTTTTCAGGGATGCTGGTGTTTTTTACATGCTTTACTTTGAGTGCATGTTGGTCACTAAGAGAGGATGGCTTATGTTCCCCCATATGCTCTCCTTGGTCAATAATGGAAATTAACTCTTGCTTTGCAAAACTCTGAAATTCATTAGAAAAGGTTCCTTTGCCATCTTTTGCTCTAAGTGTCGATGCTAAAATGGGGCTTGCCACACCTACATATGTCCCAGGGATATTTTTGATGGGGTCTTGTGAAGACCAACAAGGTTTGGCATTTAGAATATGAGGATTCTGAGGATCCCTGGATTGTTTCTGGTGAGATCCATTTGTGTGGGTGTGGGGTATGAGTTGATACTGCCCTGCTGAATTGAATGTTGAAGGGTAGGTCCTCTTTGAATTCAGAACATTGTTTGGATTTGATTCTTCTTTCAACATAACAGAAGAACTTCCTGAAGGGTCTTTTATGCATTTAGGACGTTTTGATTTTGAGGATAAATCAAGTGGTACATCTAATGACTCGCTTGAGCTTGAAGTTGCCTTGTCTTCTGAAATAGGAGGAATAGTGGAATCCATCGAGGTTATATTTGTTAAGTCCATACTGTTGTCGATGGGATTCAACAGTCTGCCCTGAGAGGCAAGGTTAGCTAGTGCAGAGCCACAACAAATTGCAGTGGTAGGGGACATTTTATAGTGTGTGGGGACAAGGGATGTTAGTGACGGATGCTGCATTGGTAGTGCGATAGCTGGTGGAGCTGCTGAAGCTAAAGACCTGTGCTCTATAGATTTGGAGCCCTTGTTTGACGGATGGCTCATTTTTTGTTTTGAGGTGCATGGATCTGCTTTCTTCTCAGATGATGAAGCCCGACTCACAGTGAAGGGATAAGGATAGGTCTGGATTAAAGGTGACCCAGTGACACTGGAGCCTTGTGGCTGACTTTTCTTCTGAAACTGACTTGATGTTGCTTCTCTCAAGGCAGCAATCTGGCCAAGTGCTGGTGGAAGAGTAATTTTACAAAGCGAAGAAAAACTGGCAGAAGGAAGAAAAGTAACAGACTGAGTTGGTTTAAATATTGTGGGGCAATGAAATCCAGGAGTGGCACTTTGAGCGTGCATCTGTGTCTTTGATTGGTTACTAGAAGTCATGCTGCTGCGACAGGGGTTTAGTAATTCCTCTCGATCAACTTTGACACCACTCGACCACTGGGGACCAACAAAAACCCCTGTGTTGTCAGCCTTAGGTTTAGGAACGTCTGTCCTTTTGTCTGTCACTATGAGGGCATTGTTGAGCTGTTGTAGAGAAGAAATCCCTGTACTGTGCTTATAATGACAAGTGTCCAAGGTAGTTTTTGGTGCCTTAGTTCTTGCAATTGTTTTGTTCTGTTGACTGAGGGTAACATCTCCTCTAAACTCAGGGGGTAGTGTCTGGGGAGGATTTCCCACCATAGTTGTGGTGACTTTATTTGGAGCGCTGATCTCTCTGCTCACTGTTCCCCCATCCCCTACATTCATCAGTGTAGAATCCACCTAAGGGATGGAAAATCAATAGTAAGAACAAATGAATGAAGACAAAAAATATAGTATTTAAAAATATAGAAATTACCTGCATAGGAATTTCTAAGACAGCATACTCCTGAGTATGACGGTTTCATTTATGGGTGGTTTATCATTTTTGTCCATAAACTGAAAAAATAAAATAAAATAAATTATTATTGTTTCTAGTATAGGTGCACACCAAAGTAAAATACTCTTTAAGACTCTGTAAGACACATTCAATACATTTGTAATTAATAAAAAAAATACCAGCGTCAGAGCTCTAGCATTGAATTCCATAAGTGGTGGTCATTCGTTTTTACTGCACTGAGAAAAGTTGATAATCATACATTCTTACAGTCTTCACAAATGTAACTCATACTTGACCTGGATGAGGGCATCCTTGTTTCTTAATATAACTACCATATTTCTCAGTTTGGTTTTGAATGTATATGTCTGTGGAATCATGCTGTTGCATACCACCGGTGAGGAATGTCTTATTGTTTCTTTATCCATCTTGTCTGTTTAACAGCAACAATGAAGTTTGAACACCTGTACGTCTCAACAAACAAACCTATAGTGACAAATGGTACAGCACTGCGGAGGGGGTAATCTGCATGTTAAATTATACACTTGCTTACAGCTTGTCTGCCACAACATTTGAATCTTGGTTTCTCGCCTAAGTAGAGACACAAATCTTTCCCCTCACTTTTCTCACAGCAAAAATGCGCGACAATAAACAGAACAATCAAAAACGTAACTAATAACATCGTCGCCTGCACCGTCCTGCGACTGGCAGCTCCTGTTAACTCGGCGCATGAAGCCCAGACCACATGTCGGCTATTATTAGTACAGGCATTGTTCAATCTTTTCAAAAGTAATCTGAAATTTAAAAGGTGGTCAGGTTCACTAAAAAGTAGACACAAGTCTATCTATTCATCAACATAGTTGGTGTGTTGAAGACAAGGCGCACATCCATGCTCGAGATCGCGGATGCTCCGGGCTGCGACGTGATGGACCATCGTGGTAATAATCCGCCACATCGCAGATAAGGTGAGTCAACAACTCCAACGCGTACAATACAGAGCACAACAACAAAGTCATGCCCAAACCATCCTCCTGTCAGCCACTCGTGAGCCATTTAGTCTAACGAGCTTTCTACGGCGTTCCCAAACACAACAATCTGATGGCCGTATCTGCCGATCCTGACTGAAACTGAAGCAGGGAGGGCTTACTTACTTGACAAGCACAAGTGTTAAGATAAACCAGACGCAGTAGAGACCTGTGCGAACACAACTTATTGCACGTCGGAGAGGTCAGCAGTATCATGCAAAGGGGGCAAACACAACATAGAAGTCCACAGAGAGGGTCCACGGCTCCAGAAGCCTACGGGTCTGGAGGCTGTCGCTACTCAACGTGTTGAGGCAGGCTGCGGAAAGGCTCTATCCCCGGTCGACCCTCAGAGAGCTGTGCCGCGTTCCGGCCCTTGCTGGACTGACTTAACCACTTCGCTGTTGAAAGACATTCACCTCCTCTTCGTCCTCTCACATACTCCCTCGCTCCCAAAGACAGAAAAAGCCAAAAGCGAAGACTAAATACAAGACAAATAGTGAGCAAAACAGTTACGAACCGCTCGTCCAGATGGCACATGAACGACGTACTGTACGAGTCTGACGCGACTGCCTCTGCCCAGCCTTTCGCCGCGGCCGTCCGGGGCTGCTCACTAATCTCGACGCTTTTCGGTTCTCAAAGTCCGGGGGGCGGGAGGCAGGAGGGAGGGTACAGGAGGAGGTGGGGGTCGTTAAGACGGTCCGTTCCGTATCTCCAGTCTCCAGTCTGCGGGAGCGGGTGAGCGAGGGGCCCGCAGAGCGCATGGGAGATGTAGTGCCTGCCTATCCACGCCCAGGATTAGACACAGACAGCAGGGAGGGGTGAGGACTGCAGGTACCAGCATGCAACGCGAGCTCCAGCGGCTCAAAGAGAGGGGGGTCGTAACCAGAGTGTAACGGTGCGCTAAAGTGCAAAGCCTTATCGGGGTAACGAAGTAATAAACTGTGTTTTTGAAAGCATACCCCCTCAATGTAATTTAGACCTAGTGCACATTCAGAAGACATTTGACAGCAGAATGGATAGGAGTGTATAGATAATTAATTGAGTACCCTACAGATCCATCCTGAAAACAAATAAGTCAATAGTCCTACTGACAGCAAGGGGCTTTGATGGATTAGTTTATAAAACTACAAACGGTTTAAAACTGTCATAACCAGGTGTCATCAACCTGAATTACATGTAATCCAACACACAGGCCTGTTTGAATAGACCTGCATCTATATCAAATGCACAAGTACAATTGGGAATATAAAGGAGTGCTCTTCTTACCAGCGTATATCTTGTACTTTTCACGACACTGCTGAGTCTATCGTGTGGAAATACCCACGCCATATAGCTCGGCATGTGCTGTGATCAACAACTTGGCTGTGCCTCATATCAGCCTTGATTAATGACAACATGTAGCCGCGGAGGTGATAGGTCTTGAAGACCTGTGAAACACAGCCGCTGCATTGTCTCAGCGGGGCATGCAGTGACCCCCGCGGTCACACGTAGTAGTGGACAAGTGTATCTTAATTAGTGTTTGCTTCAGCTCGTAAAAATAATTATTGAAAAAATAACATGTCAAAAACTGTTGCAGCAACGGCATATGAGAACCACACGGATGAGGAAAAAGAAAATGCCCTAGTAAAACTTCGTTTGCGGACATCTAAAGATAAATGTTCTCGTCACATTGGAGGTTATCAAGCCGATGCCGCCAGGTTCACGGCAGATGCTCAACCATGTCCCGAATAACTTCGTTGGTCACGTGGTAAATGCCCTGATTAGAGAGGAGACACGAGTGGTCAAAGGGGGACTATACACTAACGATGACGAAACAAGTGATTAGCGGAGAGGTGACAGATCATCAACCACAGCAACGCTGCGACATGAAGCCGGCTCATGTCCTCTCCCAGGTGAAAGGATCATAAAAGTCAGCGGATGGAACGCACACATGATGAAATTAACTTGGTTCTGGTGTGCCCCGTGTCTGGACTGCCGTGCGCCCCAGAAGCATGTGCGCGGAGAACACACGCGTTGTCATCTTGGCTCACAACTTGACTCCATGGCCACATAGGAGTCGGGACGTGGTTGTACATAAAGCCGCGGGACGTACACGAGACAGCGTTCCGGAGCGGGAGGCACCAATAACACGTTTGCAGGTCAAAGTTTGTCAGAGTTTTACTTACTCTCAGTAGCTTAGTGCAATGCCCCCGTTAATGCCCCCTGCTCGCCCATATCGCCTTTGTTATTAGTAATCGCATGGTATTGCACCGTCTTACCTTGCGCCCCTAGCTGATTTCAGCCACAAAGCGTGCACGCAGAGCAACAAGCTAGTGTTGTCCTCACACGGCTTGCATGCACTGGCGGTGATATGATTTTAAAGTAAGACGATTTCAGAATGCAATTTTGGCTTGTCCTCGCCTTCTTTCCTTAATGCCAGTTTTCGGTCTGCAGCAGCTGGAGAAAATCGCGCACCCAGGGTCCTAGCGCCGAGGAAGCCCTACAGGTGAATAGACTGCACATACAGCTGTGCGGAGACTTCGAGTCGTGGACAAGAGAGCATCCTGCAGAAGACCTCACAAGCCCGGGGAAAGTCAAAGAATATTGAGAGGCCCATAATCTGGACAACAGTACGTGCTACTTGGGGATGGACATTGCTTTACAATGTTGAAACCATCAAGGAGACCGCAGAAATGTCGTGATGTTGTCTTTTTTGTATATTTTTAAAACAATAAGCATTCAATTATTTAATACATTATTCATATATAACACATTTTACAGTAAGTCAATAACAATAATAAATAAATAAAAACTGCTCTGCACCAGATTTTAGTTACATTTCCTACAGTCCCTGACGTTGACAACTATTTCAATAATCCACCAATTGAGGCCATTGTAAAACCTGAAGCTTCCATTTCTGCTTTCTGAACATTGATTGATAATTTTTCATTTGTGGAAGAGGGTGTGAAGTTAGTTTCCATAATCTATGGAATTCAACTGAATCTATTATTCCTTATAAATTCCCCAACTGGCTGCGACCTAACCCCAAAGCATAATGGATCCACGGAGGATCTGATATCAAAGTAAGAATTGAGGATCAATGTAGGGTGAGGGGTTTAGGGTTAAGAGTCCAGGATCAACTTTGACATTGATCCTCCACACCCATTCTTAACAGCTGAAAATATATTTATTTCCTGAAATGACATGCCATTTTTCAAAATGTACATTTTCTCATTTCAGAAAATTCAGGTGAGTTTACTATTTATTGTATTGCCTTAGTATCCCCAGTATTTCCTCTGGAGGCATCCTCTTCTGGGGCTGTGAGGTTCTTAATATACTTTAAAGCATTTTGTGTTGCATTGTTTCCCTGAAAAGCGCTTTTTAAATAAAATGTAATTGAATGATCGTTTGAATGCAGTCCAGTCCTGTCCTGGAGCATGTCATAAAGTGTACCTTTAAAGCTTTTTTCACCATTAATTATTTATGTTTCCCCTGGAGACCAGCTGGCACTCCCTTAGAGAGGGAGAACCTCATGCAGTCACAAAAAAGAAGCTTGGAGGTTCTCCTGCACTTCAAGAGGAGTCAGCTGAGGTGCCTCAGACATCTGTTTCGGATGCCTCCCGGAGGCCTCCCGGAGGTGTTTGGGGAGGGTCACAATGGGAGGAGGCCCCAGAGAAGGCCCAGGACACACAAAACTACATACACTTTGCACCTGTAGTTATTTTTCTAAAGACGGCAGTAAATGCTGTCGATTGATTTACAGACATATATTTTCACATCTTAACATTAAAATGTTACTTTTAAATGTGCTGGAAACGGCAGCAAGTCTCAAGTAGCTCTGAAACAGTTGTTGTTTTGTACTTTACAATTGTTAATTTTCTGGCTTTCTGCTGTGACCGTAACCCTAACCCTAACCTCTGCTGCTGTGACCTAAAGTGCTGTTGCACTTTATCACTATTGTTAGTAACTTTTGGAATGATGTATTTATTTGTTTGAATGGATGTGTTTCTGTTGCTGGACACCTGAATTTCTCTTACAGGGATCAATAAAGTATAGGGGGAAAACAATACTTAATTGATTTTCATGATGATCTTATTGAAGATTTTTATGGTTTAATCGGAGTAATGAAACCATAACATTTTACATGTCTTAAAATAACATAGTTAGTGTCTGTGAAAAGTATCCAGGATGTCCTTCATCGGCCAATACTAGAGATACACCTTGTATGGAGCTGGGTCCCACCCACATCACAGTTTACCAGAGCAATATGAGTAAGATTTCAACTTGCAAAATGTGAAGTAAAAGTGTGGTATTTATGCTCCATTGTATTGTTCAATTGTGCAATGTAAGCACAGTTTTAACAGTGAACTGCAGGCACAATAAGAAAAGAATCAAGCACCCGCCAAATTTCAGGTGCTCCCAGCATGCAGACGCAACAAGGCTGCTACCATGCGCTGACCTCAGCTGATCATTCCTCAGGAGAAAAGAGAAGATAGGAGGAGGCGAACAGGAGGAGAGCAAGCAAGACAGGTGAAGAGCAGTTCAGTCATTGTTATTTCTTCTTGTTTGTACAAACTCCTGAACTAAACAAAGCGGAGTCCAAAACTTTCTAAGTACCCATACTCCAAACCAATGCACTCAAAGGAATCCTACACAGACATGCGGGAGAACATGCAAACTCCACTCCGAAAGCTCTCGGGAGTCAAACCCAAGACCTTCAAGCCGAAAAGGGGGCACAGTGGCACAACAATAATAATAATAATAATAATGCATTGGTTTTATTTAGCACTTCTTTTGGACACTCAAAGATGCTTCACGTCATTATTCTTTCACTCCATACACGGTGGTGATAAACTACTAACGTAGCCACAGTATGTGCCATTGGCCCCTCTGACCACCACCAACCATTCACGCACACATCAGACTCATTCTAATGTGGGTGAAGCGTCTTGATTAAGGACACAACAATAATTTGGCACTTTACAGCCGTAGACACTGTAGCACCCGGTGTTCCCAAGGGTCTCCCATCATAGTACAAACCAGGCCCTGCTGCTTCAGAGGTCTGGCTTTCACATGCAAGTCCTGGCTTTGATTCCTCCTCCAGACGGGACATTTCTGTGTGTAGTTTGTTCTCCCTGTGTCTGTGTAGGTGTGTTCTGGGCTCTCCAGTGTCCTCGACCACTAAAAACATGTACAGTAAAAGCCGCCAGCTTCGGTCCTGACAAAGCTGAGAATCAACATCTGGAGGTGAGTCCCAGAGCGCTGTACTACAGCCACCATGACAGAGGCTAGTGGCGTTACAGGATGACACACATTTCCCTAAGGTGACTAAAAGTAACACTTTCTGACCAAAAGTATAACTTTTTGTCATAAATATGCTTTATATAATGACATACAGGTCAAAGTTGAAGTATTACTTAACTTAGAAGCGAGAGCTCTAATCACTTTGTCACAATCAGCAGGCACAGGCCCCTCTAACTAGTGGTTCCCAGCCATTAGTTTATTGTCATGAGTGTATTTTAGTAATATACTCTGAGTAGTATTATACTCTGTGCTCGGAACAAGTATTTCTTGTTCTGAGCACAGGAACAAGAAATACCCCTCTGGGAAAATCTAGTGACCACTAAAGTTGTAGTACTACAAAAGGATGCAGAACTTTCGAGGCCCTGGATCAAAAGTTATGTGAACAGATAAGGGGGGGGAAGTGGATTATTTAGAAATAGAGTGATCCTTTTATTTTTTTTATTTTTTTATCAATGAGTAATTGATTATTACCATATTATTCCAAAACATTTATTTGGGGGGGTGTGCATGCAAACTAAAAAAGCATGCAATCGTGGGTGCTAATGACTTTTCCTATATGCAATCCCCTGGTAAATATCCCTTACTGGTTTGATAAATAATACAATTCATATATTTAATGCCAGTGTCCCTGCATATAGAGAACTACATCTATTACAAACAGTTATTTTGATAATTCATGAATTCATTAGTCCAACAATTATACTCCTAATTCATTGAATTATTGTGGATCAGTGGTTTTTAAATATCTGGAATTAAATGTAAAGATCCGATCCAGGAAAAGTCTACCTGGTGTTAAACGTATAGAAGAGTCTGTTCTTAGTCCGGGTGGATCATCAAGATATTTGGTTCACCTAATTGTCAATCATGTAACGGGCCAAGTGGTAGTGTGGAAGGAAGAGAGGTGCGAGTGTCTTCAGGTAGTTTAGAGAATACAGAACAGAACTCCGAATGAGTTATAAAAGCAGAGGTCAGGGGGTGTGGCCTTGCACACGTCATTTAGTCCCTTACAATCATTCTGGTGATATGTGACGTAAGGGCGTCATACATGCCTTTCTGCGCATGCACTTTCAGGTGTATATGGTGAGCTATGCCATTGTCTGCTTGTCGTAAATAGATTTTTACTTATACTGGTGACATGGTGGAAAAAAGAAAATCTTCTTGGAAATTGAGCTTGTGTGAGCGATGCTGACAGTGACTTGTAAACAGAGTGAGCAGGAGGAGAGGCTTTGTACACGTTTTAGTAGGCGCCCCAAGCTGTCCATTTCATGAGCTGTGTGTGGTAACATTTGATAAATAACTAATTAGAGAAAATTGTGTGCATGTCAAATGAGGTGGCGAGGATGAATAGAGGGACTCATTCATTCATTCGTCAGTTCTTCAAATTGCTTGAAACTATTCTGATGTGTGGGGGAATGAGTGGTGGTGGTTGCCTCGAGTCTGTCCCAGGGCAGCTGTGGCTAGTCTATCACCACCGTGTACGGAGTGAATGAATAAAAGCGTCTTTGAGTCCCCCAAAATGTGCTAAAGAAAAAATATGCATCATTTATGTATTATTAGCACTGCATACAAACTGTCCCGACTGCTCCTTCAAAAATATCAAAATTAAATAGGGTTAGGGTTACAGACAGGGTTTAAGACAGTGAAATTGTTACTTGATTCATTAATTCAAACTCCAAAAAGACAACAAAGTGCTCTTATTGAGAGTGCGTTCTGCATACTGTGCCTTCAACACTATGTGAGAATGCAGAAGTTGAAAAGAGGATGACTTAAATAAGCATCGATCTTGACTACCTTGTAACTCGTGGACTGAATGCACGTTAATTAAAGACAACTTAGAATTGTCTGAATCCCCAATGATAACGCCAGAAAGGTGTAAAATCACAAGTGTTGCAATCTTACCATTCTTTGGCTGTAGTTGAGAAGAGCGCCGTCTAGTGCTTAATAATCAGACTGTGGTCTCCTCTCGCACGCGCCCGCACGCCGCACGTTGCTTCAGCGGAAGTCATTCTTTGAGCTTCCGGTGCAACTTTGTTTTTGGTCCAAAATGGCGAATGTTGCTGCTGCCGCTGCTGCTGCCGCCGCCGCTGCAGCTGCTGCGAGAGACCCGGCAGTGGACCGGTCTCTGAGATCCGTGTTTGGTAAAGCAATTATGATGTATTCTTTAAAGAATGCCCACGAATTACTTTAAAATATGCTCTAAATAAAGGTTCAACTGGTCTGCCTTAGCTTTAGCTAAGCAGGAGCAGCTAGTGAGCCTATCACTTTTAACAACAAACTGATAAATTATTATTTATGAATTTGAGAAATGAATGCATGTAGCCCATTCAGTAGTATTACCTGGGTTTTCGTCGTCTTATTAAATGGTCGGAATTTGTATCATCCACAGCCATGCACAGCAGCTGTCGTACATGCTGCATGCTTTTATTGTCCATGGATCGACTAAAGTCACCTCCCCATTGGCTACAATACAAAGTTTAAATGTAGTATTTTGAGTAAGGTTGTCAAAATGATTGAAAATTAGATTCGATTCTGATCAAATCGATTCAAAAACTAGAAACTACAGTTGATCATCAGGGAATTTATTGTACCCAGATGTGTTCATGTTCATGTTCATGATGGATGTATTTCAGTTGGAAACATTCCATATGAAGCCACAGAGGAACAACTTAAGGATATATTTTCTGAAGTTGGACTTGTGGTCAGTTTCAGGTAAGCTCTTTTACATATTTGATTTAGGGGTACTCTTTCTTTAATCTCTCTTTATTCCGGACTCAAGGTCCATACACTTGTACCAGTGTTCCCAGAACTGAGAAATACAGCGTGTTGTACTGAACTTGACATTCACCGAAACAAAAACAACTAGGTTCACAGACTTGTTCAATCAGTGAATAAAACTAAACATTGCATTTCTTTGGGCAGACTTCAGTGTGTTCACTAGTGATGGGTTGATGAAGCTTCATGAAGTGTTGAACCTTTTCATCCATTGGTTCGAGAAAAGGTTCATTTCTTGATGCTTCATTTGCTCACAAACCTCCTGTTGGTCAAAATCTGTATTGACAATTGAACTGTTTGTGAGGCTCTTGCGCATAGGAATTAATACTGGTAACAGAAATAAAAATGTAATTTGATTGTGTATGACCCATTAATTTATCTGTTTCATTATGATCAATACACACACACACACACACACATACATATATGTAGATATATATTTATATACATATTTAATGATGAATGATTATAGCTTTTCAAGTCAAAATCAATGTTATAAATCCAATAGGACAACAAACATGTTGAAAGTGTAAGTGCTTTTCAAAGGACGTGACACAAATGGGGATATCATTTGGGATTGTGACCCCATCAGTTGTTTAAAACCAAAACATTTCTGACAAAATTCTTTCTCGTGTATTTACATCGACGCACTCCCGGTGAGATTCGAACCCCGGTCTCCCAGGTCCCAGCCCTGCTTCCCTATCAATTGAGCCAACCAGCTGATACCTCAACCCTCTCCATCACTGACTACATTAATCACCAAAACAAACACACAGTTTGAGCGGATCTTCTGCAGTACTTCATGAATTGCTCCATTTCCTGTGCTCCCGAGGCTTCAAACGTCATTAGTGACGTCACTCATCTAAAACAACTCAGGCTTCGGCCCGCGCTCCGATAAAAACTTCAGGGATTTCTCGGCTCACGCCCCGAAGCGCCGACGCGGCACGACCCATCACTAGTGTTCACTCTGTTGCTCTTTTGCTAGCAGCCTAATTTAGGCTGGTTGGTGTTGTCTACTACTGCAGAGTACACCTATCATAAATCTCAACAGCAGTTGACTTGGGGGGAATTTACAAAACTGTCAATTCACCAACAGATTAGAGAAACAAAAAATTATAACACAGGAAATGCAATAATACAATAAAATTCATAAATGTTCTGGATCATCATTGTTCCTACACTCTCCTAAAAATACAAGGAATGACACAAAAACCGAATGGGAATATAAACCCCTGGGACTCTTAGTGAGAGAGTGATTAGCACTCACAGATGGACAAGCTGTAGATCCAGGACTGAAGAGGCTTCCAGGCCGGGAGAGGGCAGAGGACAAGTTCACAGTTCCACCCACAAATATTAGTCTGGAGCCCTGTAGGGGCTGGGGTCAACCTAATAGAGGTTTGCTCTGGAACTTCCATTGAACCAAATTCATTTTAAATATAATTTTGACTGATCTAGAAAGATGCCTTATTGTCTTCCAGTACCACATATTGCCTGATACTTGCAGGTAGTCAAATATTTTGTGTGTGTGTAGGGAAATAAAATAATTTATGCTTTGATTTGTATAATTGCATTTTTTTTTAAACTAGACTATTTTGGCCTAACAAAAACAAACTCTATTTTCATTCTTTCTTTAATACTATATGGCCCAGTTAGCCATCTGTTCTGGCGCTGAGGTCTCACAAATCCACATCTCTGAAACTCCAAATGGTTTCCTTTACCTCTCCACCTGAGGGCGCCACAGACTATTGAGACTTTAAAGACGACTTTAAAACATGTTCATTTTATAATGCATTCTGTAATTGTAGTTTGTGTACTTGGTTTTCTTTTAGAATAATTTTCATTTTCCAGAGTAAATATTTGCAGCGTACCTTTTATTGAAGTTACTGTAGATTGTGGAATGAACATTTATTCGGACATTAAAGCTGGACGAGCTAACCTTCAGAATTCTTTCTTGCCATCGCAAGAAACGGGAAGTCACATACAAGGAATTTGTTTTGACTCAAGGTGCAAACAAGTTGTATTAGTAAAAACAGATATCAGGCATGTGTGCAAATAAATATTCTTACATTGTCTTAAAATTATTAAATATATTTTACACAATATACAAACAGTTTTGTGTAAGTAATATTTTGTGAACAAATCAGACCACAAATGCTGTCTGTGTAACATTTTACATTATGAGAGCTGGTCTTTCTAATTTTTCTGTCTGAAAAACTGAAGCCAAAAATACATGCATGGGAAGACTAGTGATGGAAGCAAATCTTTTACTGCCAGAAACTGTTGACATGGATTTTTATTAAAGAGTTTTTTTGCTTTTTCTTACTGTCACCCAAGAGTAGTTTTCTCAAAAATCAGTTTTCATAACTTTATACTCTGAGGTTGTCTACTCCCATACTTTCACACCCCACATACTTGGTGTGATTTCAGAACTTGTGCTTCTCATTGTATTATATTGTAAGCACCATTCTCTCCAACACTGCAGGTTGGTGTATGACAGAGAAACGGGAAAGCCAAAGGGCTATGGCTTCTGCGAGTACCAGGATCAGGAGACGGCGCTCAGTGCTATGCGCAACTTAAATGGAAGAGAATTCAGCGGTCGTGCACTACGGGTTGACAATGCAGCAAGTGAAAAGAATAAAGAGGAACTCAAAAGTAAATGCATGATAAAACCACATACATGTTTTCTTGTTGTTGTCATTATTTTCATTATTACTATTATGATCATTATACTGTTTGACTAACTTTTATGTGCATAGGCTTGGGCACAGGAGCTCCTATCATCGAGTCTCCATATGGGGATAGCGTACAGCCAGAGGAAGCCCCAGAATCTATTAGCCGAGCTGTGGCCAGTCTACCACCAGAACAAATGTTTGAACTAATGAAACAGATGAAGGTACTGATTTCTGACTTGTTTTTGACACATTCTCTCCTAGTTTTGACTTGCCATGTTATTTTTCTTTGACACATATTCTTTCTTTCTTAGCTGTGTGTGCAAAATAGTCCACAAGAGGCCAGAAATATGTTGCTTCAAAATCCCCAGTTGGCTTATGCTTTGCTACAGGCCCAAGTTGTTATGCGCATAGTCGACCCAGAGATTGCATTGGTGAGTAACTTTTCTTGTTGTTAATGTATGTTGTTGACTTTTGAACCCAATCTTGTTTTATTGTAAAAGGACTTTCAATCTGTAGTTTTATTGCAATTATAATATCAACCTGTCCTACAAGTGGAGACTTAGTTGCTGAAATCTGACACATTTTCTTTTCATACTCGTGATGTTTATTGTGCAGATAAAATATATTCAATTAGATATTTAAACCACTCGAGGTTATTGGATTATTGGACTAACTGTCCATTATTTGTTTCTTTTTATATTTTAGAAATAAATACAGTTAAAGAACATTTACAAAAAACATTGTATCAAACTTGGGTGCAAAGGATGATTTTTCTATCTACATGTTTCTAATATTTAGTCTGACAAAGAATTATGTAAAGCAATTCATGCAAATACAAGAAAATAAAAATAAACTACTGCAATCATCCTGGTCACTTTTAATCCAACGTATTGTACAATTTAATCTATAGCGCACTTCTTATATTTAATATTCTAATTGTTTTAAATGTAGAAAATGCTTCATCGTCAAACTACAGTCCAGCCTCTAGTTCAAAGTGGACAAGGTGGAGCAGCGGCGGTAGGAAACCCTCCTCCAGCTCAGACCAACGCACCAGTCCCACAGCCGCAGCCGGGGGTATGAACACTTCTCATTGCTGCTTTAATGTCTTACCACTGAAACGATAATTACCCTTTTCTATATGGTTGTATCAATAGCCTGGGATGCATGTCAATGGGGCTCCTCAAATGATGCAGCCTCCTAATATGGGTGTGGCTCCTGGCCCCATGCCTGGACCTGGTTCTGGCCCCGGCCCTGGGCCTGCACCTGTCGGCCCTCCAGGTGATTGTTTATTCGTTGGTTTCATTTTGAATAAGCCTATTATCATTGTACATTATTTGATCTGTTTAATTTACAATAGTTTAATTTGATATGGCTGTTTCCTGGAGCAGGAAATCTAATATTCTGATTGAAAGAGGATATACTTACTAACGTTATACGATACCGCAGTTACAACACCACATAATGGCAGTTATGATACTTGAGGAAGGGGATGTCAACCCAGAAATATGGGAGAAAAAAACAATTGTGCTGTGTTTATAGTTTTGTTGTGTATGTACAGATGGACATAAACACTGAGAGCATGTTTACAGTCCTCCAAACTAGATTCCTAGCTGTTCTTCAGCATCTTTTGTTCTTCTTATTTTTAATGCTGGCTCAGGAAATCTGCAGCATTCCCCTACGAGATCATCCAGCTCTGCTGCTGTCGAGCGACCACAAGGTATCACTGCACCCCTCACTTCTACTGTGAGGCGGCAGGACATGACTGCATGGCAGTGCAAGTTCAGTGTACCGACAAAATATATCTCCAATTTGTCTCCAGCCATAAGCTCAAGTAGGGCCCAAGAGGGATTGGAGATTTTGAGTGAAAGTGGGGCTATTCAAGGTGGAGAAAAAGTCTACCCTGAGTTGGATTATCCAGAGGGAGTTCTTTTCCATCAGTGTTGCTAGTAATAAGAGTCCACATAGTTTCACCATCAGCCTGATAAAAATGGGTTTATAATCTAATTATAGGTTTGTTTTTAGCTTTTGCAGACCAGGAGCTGGACTCATGAAGATGATCTGGTTTTCTGTTCTGGCCGTTCCGTTCCCTGTGCCCTTCCCTTGTGTGTCTTACTTCCTGTTTTACCACATTCCAAATTAATTTTACGTGTGTGAAGATTTGGACATGTGCAAATGGGACTTTAGGAGTAAAGGGCACAGATTGGGGGGGGGAACACAAATGGACCAGCAAATCTGCTTAAACAAAATTTAGGATGTTTATAGAACATCAATAAATCTCATTCAAAATATCAGGGTCTGCTTCAGATCTGCGGAGAAATGACTCTAAATGGGTATTTTCTCATTTCTGATCCTTGCTTCTGCAGATTGTAAAACTATAATTCCAAATGTATTTTATATGGTTAAGTTGCATGCTGCGCTCACAATACTCAACATAATAAAATGCTGTTTTTTCATAAACTTAAGATTAAGATGTGATTCTAGTTTCGACCATTTCGGAAAAGAACTTGGGCATTGTTGATTGAACATGATTTCATAAATGAATTATCCTGTGCATGTGGTAGGGCGGGAAGGATTGTAAAAGAGCATAAATTGTGGTTTGTAAGAGTACACAAAGTTCTTTTTGTCAGCCTGTTAGATTGTTGAACTGCTTTTATTTTTCTTATTGACGATTACTCACAATCAAAATAGAACCCTTCTCTTCATTCCATAGAAATCTACTCTTAGTAAAATGTATGTTGAAATCTTTTTTATCGCCTTTAGGACCAGGTGGTATTCCTCCAAGAGGTCTTTTAGGAGATGGTCCCAATGACCCCAGAGGGGGAAGTCTCTTGTCAGTCACTGGAGAGGTGATCGATCCCAAGTAAAAAACACATTAACTATTTAATGATTGTCATGTGATAAGGTCATCATTGTTTAAAGGTGTATTCTGTGCGTAATTTTAGTCGAGGATACATGGGAGCCCCACCTCAACTTCAAGCACCACCTGTACACATGGGCCAGATGGGAACTGGACCCCCTCCTGATATGAGAGGACCTCCAATGGACATGAGAGGTCCTCCTATGGGTGAACCACGGAATATGATGGGTGACCCCCGTGGGCCCCCAATGATGGAGCCTCGTGGACCTCCAATGGAGACGAGAGGTAGTCTTTTGTTCTTCAATGACAAAGTCCAATATCTGTTCTTTGTCTTAAAAGGAAGATGGAACAAAATAGTGGAACTGTTTGATTAACCATGACCTGCGATCTGGTTTTGTTTGATTTTCACTAGGTCGTGATCCCAGAGCAATGGATGCTCGTGTGCCTGTGGGCAACCAGAGGGTCCCTATGGCTGGGGGCATGCCAGGTCCTGTTCCCCATAGCATGGGTCCAAATGTCCCCCCACCTGTGAGACCAGTAAGTGGTGATTCATCTTTACTCAATTGTTAACCAGCATAACTAGACACTAGTTCCTTGTCTCTTAGGCAGGTGGAGGCTTTAGCCCTGGACAGGCCCCCGTTTCATCTCAAGACCAAGAGAAGGTGAGTACTGACCACACATTTTTATATTTCGAGTCTCAGACCATTGGATTATGACATAACTGTGTTTACTTGTGAAGAGGAACTGTTGATTCTTTTCTCATGATATAACAGCAGCCTTCATATTTTTGTTCTAATTTGTAGGCTGCTCTCATTATGCAAGTGCTGCAGCTCACCCCAGAACAGATCGCCATGCTGCCCCCAGAGCAGCGACAGAGCATCCTCATTCTGAAGGAGCAGATTCAGAAGACGGCCAGTGGAGCTCCTTAATCAAATGTACATCCAACTACTGTAAGTTCAGCCTTATTAATGAGTTTATAGAAGGATATGGTTTTATTAATAATCTATGACTTACATTTTTCAGTCGCTGGAACCTGCTAAAACACCCTGAGAAGAATGTAATTTTTTTCTTAAGTCCCACCAGTATTTGTTTTTTTTATTTCTGTGTACTTTGTTCCCAATAAATACAGAAAAAGACACACTTTTTGTTTTTGCTGATTATTTATAAGAAAATATGCGGATGACAACAAATGATTAATATAAAAATAGCATAAAACCTCTGCAAAAATATTTCATGAGGGAATTGAAAATGAATTCTGAGCGTTCACTCTCTAAAGCCTGGTAGTGGAGGTTGATCCGATCACCTGTGTTTCCTCCACTGATGAAGAGGAGGTTGGTTGTTGCTTGACAGCAGCTTATGCAGAGACTGAGTCACTGTTGAAGCAGAGCCGTCTGTCCTCAACTGCAGGTGTGACGAGGGAAGATTCCAGTATGCAGGTGACCACGCAAGATAGTCCAGTCTGAATTTCACTTGTTTCATATGTATTTACAGTAGTGAAGTATTAGAAGTTTTCTTTGTTAAAATAAAACTTGGTTTTTCGAGGATCTACATCAGAGAATTTGGCACATTTCTTCTCCAAAACTTTGGCAAGGACAACTGGACCACACAAGAACGTTCCAACCACAGACCTGAGAACCACCACAGACAAAAATATAAATATAGAACATTCACTGAAAAAAAATACAGATTACATGCTCGATTAACCCATCTCTCTTCAATACTGTTCACAAATCTGACTACACATTTGTTTCCATGAAGACCTTGCTTAGACAACTGATCCCAACTCAGAAAAGTGTGACAGCCATATCAAGATGCTGTTTCATTCTGTTTCTATTGCAATACCGTTTGTCTCATGCAGTGAAACCTCTCCTTCACAGACTTGATCCGTTGATCAGCCCTGTGTTAGTTCACCCTCTCTTCAATGTCTGCAACATTTCTGGATAATGGCACTCGATCACTCTCGATCACTCTCGATACAGTGATCGAGAGCATCCCAAACATGGTCAATGGGTGACATGTCCGGTGATCACAGTATACTGGTCACGCAAGAACTGCATCTGAGAAAACAGTTCTTGCATGACATGTCAGCCCCCTTAAATGTTTGGGATGCTCTGGATCACCAGATACGACTGCAAATTCCAGTTCCTGCCAATACCCAACAACTTTGCACAACCATTGAAGAGGAGTGAATCAACATTCCACAGGCTCCCATCCACAACCTAATATACTCTTTGAAAAGTGTTGCAATGCAGAAGCAAATTGTGGTCACACCAGGGACTGGTTTTTTGACCCGTCCAAAAAAGCGAAACTGAGCATCTGGTGTATTGTGTTCAGCCTCGGACACACTTCTGCAGTATTTGTGCTGTTTAAAAACTCATTCACTGCTAGCCATATGCAGTATAAAGTAGCATCCCTCATACTGCCAGAGATTTTGGATATTTGTTTTTGTTTTTCCAAACCTCATATAAATGTGAGCCCTTGGTTGACACAAGTATGAAACATACCAAATGAAAGCTCTGTCTCTTGCCTTTCATTAAAAAAAGTAAGTTTTTACCCCTTTTAGTTTTTTAGCAATTGAGAGTATAACATGGGTAACTTAATGCAAAAAACAAAACAGTGAATGAGTTAAGCTGCATCTTGTTATTCCAAACCGGTGAGTCTATAGTTGTATCACTTTAAGTTTAACCCATGCAAAATGGAAGCAAAAGTATTGTTATTTTGGTCAGTGTATGTGAAACTTTAGGCCAAAGGAAAACTTACGTGGGATTCTCTTTGCGAACTTGTTCAAATTCTTTATCCCAGATGGGCCTACCAATGTTAGTTTTTTGTTTGAGCCCTGTCACCGCATCTGTGTCCTTATCAAAGTTTACATTGAAGAAATCGGCCTAAAGGGAAAAAAAGTGACATTTTACCAAACATTTTTAGACTTGATCATTGTAACTGAGCAACACACACCAGGCTTTGGTCCCATCCAGTGAGGTAGAGATTGTAAGTGAGGAAATGAGCCATTCCTCTCTCCTCCATTTCTCTCTCTAGCACCTGGAGAAGGTCGGCAAACCATTCAAATGCATTGGTTTCCCGACACAGCCAGTAGAAATAGATCTGAATCAGGAAGTAGACAATAGCATGAAAAACAATTGTTTTCTTAACAAAAGAGAGCAAAGCATCACACCCTTCGACATGGGAGTATTGAGCAAGTACAAAAAAAGACAAAGAGATGATGTGTCAGCGTTGCAAAATGGAAAGGTTTAGGTTATGAAATATTGTGCAGGAAGTTAAATCAGCACTGGATAGAAATGAATAGAAACATAAATATGATTTTTATTTCAAATATTCAACTCTTGTGCAGAGAACTTCTCACCTTTCTGGTGCGCAGCTGCGGGTCTGACTGTTTAAACTTGTACCAGATGGATTTTAGAATGGAGGCAAATGGTGTCACTCCAATACCAGCTCCGACCAGCATGGCGACTTCATAGTCAAAGACATCCTCACTGGCTGTGCCAAATGGACCATCCACTCCAAGCCTAAACAGGGGGGTTTGCAAAGATTCAAAAAACGTACAGTCCACACATGTTTTATTCACTTTGGGTTCAGATCTGACTGATCCTTCATAAATGGCCCATCACCAAAACTGGAAAGGAACCCTGAATTATTCCTCTGTGAACACCCATTCCACAGAACTTTTTAAAATAACAAGAATATGCAAAATTATAGAGTAATACAACTTTTAAGAATCCTGTGCAAGGGTGACAAACAAGTTCCTCATTGATATATCCTTTCGTCATAGAACAAATTACACGTACACCTTTCTAAAGTTCCATTGTTTGAACAGTGTTGTAACTGAAAGAAGGAAATGTGGACTGACTTGGGTCCCTGGGCTCCCTCTGGTAGCTGCTCCATGATGTTGATAAGTTTGTTGGTCCAGTCTCCAGCAGAGCGGATGTGCACGCTGAAGAAGTCCTCCTCTGGGGCGGACGTCATGGTGAAAGGATGCCACTCAAGCTGCGAGATGGATGGGCAGTTGATGAAGATGTACTGACCCACGTCCATTTTAAACCCATTTTTCACCAGCTGAAGCTCCAGGACTTTGGACGGTCTCATCACAATCTGAAAATAGATGCATCTTTAATTTGCATATAACAGGAATATATATGATGATAAGATGTGTTATTTTATTTCCTGTCAGGTCATTGGTCAAATATAATAGGAAATGGTCGTTTCACAATGTAAAGAAATGGCCCAATATTAATTATTAGAGCATATATCTTTTAGCATGTCATTATTTTTTATTTAACCTCTTCACAATACTCTGTCCTACTCAGAAAGTCAAACTATTATTTTAGTATAAAGATTCATTACACATAAAATGTTTCAAGTTTTTGTTTTTATGTAATTTTTTTCACTTTCTGAAATCATAAATAATACAACACAAATATATTTCCATTTTGTCACAAATGCAATTTTAACGCATACATTTCTACTACTAAAATACTGGTTACCTTTCTGTATCTGACAGTTTGGATGTAGCGAATAAAACGAAGCACTCGCTCACAAAGATACAAAAACATGGGCCCAATAACCCACATCCAAGTCTGAAAAGTCACAAAACAAGATATTATCAATCAATCAACTTTTACTTCAGTGCGACTTTTCTACACAAGGCAACACAAAGCGCCTCACAACCCACATCATATCAAGCAAATCATAAACATTAAAATCTAGATATACATAAAAAATACAATTAAAATCCCAAAGGGCATTAAAAACACACAATGAGATCACAAGAAAATGTAAAAACAAAAAATAAAATCACACATGAGATTAGAATCATAAATAGCCATAGTGCACCTAAAAATAAAATTGTTCAGTTGTATGCACAGCTAGACAGAACTGCTTTTAACCTAGACTTGAAAACTGCCAGAGAAGACGCCTGTCTCACATTCTCAGGAAGACTTTTCCAAATCCTAGCTACACAAATCTGAAATGCAGCCTCCCCATTTTTAGTTCTGACTCTGGGCACTAACAGGAGTCCTGTTCCTGTGCTCCTCAGAGTCCGGGTCGGTTCATATGGGACTAACACTTCCTGGTTCTAGTCAGGACTCGAGCTGCTGTGTTTTAAATGTACTGCAACATATTACACAAAAGTAAATGCAAATGCTTGTATTTGGACCAAAGTATCAACTTCTCCGTGGAAACATATTAATGCTGTTTTGTCAGAGTTAATAAACAAGCAAAATGAGCGGGACAAACCTTTGGAAATCCTCCTGCAAACTGGGGGATAGGGCACTGTGGTATCTTTCCCCACTGCTCAATACGATCTTTGCAGTAAGTGTAATTATGCGGTGGGTCAGTCGGTGTTTGACTTCGCACGACTCGACTGAAACACAGCATTGAAATAAGTTGAATCAAACAAGAGCCATAAATAAATGTTGACAAATTGAAAGAAAGTTCTCACCCTGCTCCGTGGAAAACCAGCCCTGCAAAGAAGATGATGAAAAGGTGATGCGTGTACCAGAAGACTTCAAAGTAGCTCCGCCGGATCACCTCCATGGACGAGGTGATGATGAGGATGAGAGACACCGTTATGATCACCCCGGTGAGGCCAGCGATTGTGGTGAACACAAAATAGGTTGGCATATGTTGTGGATCCTAGAACACAGGGGAAGCCGTATGAAAAAAATGCATTCAAATATTTCAAACGTCAAAAATAAGCTGGATAAAAATCTCTATTATTATGCTAAAGATAGAGAAATGATACTGCTTCTTTCTATGCCAGAGTCAGAGATTATATTTCATGTAGATTTCAGATTATATTATATTTTATTTTATTTTATTTTAGTATAGAGTTATTATTAATTTATCTGGTGCTGTGTGCTCCTCAATTCCTACAGTCTGTAACTTGTGATGCAACACTGAAATTTCATAAAAAATACTACAAATAAATACATTGAAATCTAAATTTTTATTGTTTTTTGGAATGCAAAGGTTTGGGTACCCCTATATAATTTTCCTTCATAAATCATTGGCTGTTTGGTTAAGACAATTCAACTTTTGTTTTTGATTATTTTATCATTATTATTATTATTATTATCATCATATATAAACACTGTGATATTTGAGAAGTGAAATAAAGTATTTGAATATTATGAATTAATTGGTTGTACCACTGTATTGTTATAACGTATGTCATCCCTTCCTCTTCATCTCCTTTCATTCCTCTTACTAGAATTTTTAGTTAAATTAGTGGCACATCACACACTTTATATGTTTCATTCTTTTATGTTGCTATTTATTGCAATCTTATCTCAACTCTTTTAAACAGTCTATGAGCCATATTCTTCCACAACAAATTAAATGAATCTAAAGCGTCAATAATGGATACGTTACAATGTCAGTTTTCCGAATTGGATTGAGGTAAGTGGTGTGGTCTGTGTCTTCCAGGTTTGACAGGGCCGTGCTTAGTTTGTCGTAAACGCCTTGTCTGCTGTTGTTGTACCACTCCATGTTCAGTAAATGAGCAATCAGGTGGACGGCTGGGAACAGAGGGTGCAGTAGAGTTAGCATTTTTCTTATCAGAGAGAGATTCTTTATTCAACACAGTGGGGGAAAGTTCAGTGCTGCATCACCAGTTACAGATAGTAGGATGAGTAGCACACAGCACACAATAAACGAACAATAATTCTAAACTAAATTATAATTAAATTAAAATCCGTATGTCTAGAATGAAGAAAAAACAAGTATAAAATCTATCTTTTGCATAATGAGTCCAAAAAACTACTGTGTATTCTAGTGCAAGTAATATATAGCAGTATGTTTACACCTGTACATGTTAGCAGCAGTATGTTTACATCTGTACATGTTAGCAGCAGTATGTTTACATCTGTACATGTTAACAGCAGTATGTTTACATCTGTACATGTTAGCAGCAGTATGTTTACATCTGTACATGTTAGCAGCAGTATGTTTACATCTGTACATGTTAGCAAAGCAACCGTGGACACATGTGCTTCTATATTGCACATTCTGACTTTAGCTCAAGATATTGCACCGACGCATGACATGTGAAATCAGGCAGTGTTTGTAGTCCTTATTGTTTGTTGTACAGTCTGACAGCAGCAGGAAGGAAACATTTGCAGAACCTCTCCTTCACACAGCGAGGATTAGGCGCATTTAAGTTACTCAACTAAATCTTGCATTGAAAATAAATCAGGCAACGTTGCTTTTGATCATAGTTGTCTTGACAGATGCTTCAATTGTTTTGTAGGTTTTTCAGCAGAGAAAACCTTTAAAAAAATAGCATTTTAGACACTATGTTGACCACTCTTACAGCCGCTGGGACAGAGTGTTCTTTTCTCCCACATAAAACGTTGACTGAAAGATTACAATAGAATGTTGAAAACAAGCCTTGGCTAATTCAGGGCTGAGCCAACATGTACATGACGTGTATATACTTCAAACAAAAGCATAGTCTGTGATTGCTTCCTCTGTATTACAACTATAATTATAATACACAATCTATAATTACAATCTTAAACGACTAAGAGTGAATGATAAATTATGGAATATCACATGATACAACATAAAATCACAGAAAGCAAATGTTCATCCATGTTCTATGCCAGGAGTGTTTCAGATAAAGGCAAGGGAGGATATTTTGCACCGGTAGAATGTTTTGCAACTTTTTAAACTAAGATGGATGAGGAAGGGCATCTCACCTGTCATCAGTGCGATCATGTAGGCCACAAGCTTATGGAAACTCAAATTCTTGTCAAGCTGTTTTCGCATTGACCTTCCGCAACACTGCAAAAACACATGTGATCAAATCCAGTTAGAATAAAATAGATTGCATTAAAAGGTGAGGCTGGTAGACTGTAGGCCAGCCATTCCCAAACTCAGTAACACCGAGGCCCCCTTAAAAATCTGACGGGTCTGCGTGGCCCCCCAAAATAATAACCAAGAAGACAACATTAAGAATAGGCTCTTCTGGTTATTTTATTTTGGGGAAATAGCCTCTGCTACAAACATTGTAATACAAAAATGATTACAGTGGATTATTCAAGTCAAATAATGAACACAAATATTTTAATATTACAAACAAAACATTATAAATTTAACATTAAATAATTATATTATTTTTTTATTTTTTTTATGACCTCCTGCGGCCCCCCTGCAGTACCCTCGCGGCCCACCAGGGGGCCGCGGACCCCACTTTGGGAGACACTGCTGTAGGCAAATGAGATGGAGGTCATTATTGTTACCAATAATTGGGATAACAAAAACAAATATTTTGACTATTTATTACATTGTCCCAATGCGTGGCGTCATGTTGTTTAAAATGTTTTGTTTCACCCGAAAAAGTAACACTTTGGGCTAAAAGCTGATTGGCTGGGTCAGGGTGGATTTCTCTTTTTCCACTTTCTGAAAAAGCTGAACAAATGTGGTGGACACAAGATACACACATGTGAGAAATATTGATAGAGCCAAAAGGTTTAGAGATCGAGCAACTAGTTCCAGTCTTTGTGATTTGAAATGTAGGTACCCCAGCTTTAATAGTCCTTTTGAGCTTATCTTAGACGTCAAATATATAAAAACATAATTGTTCAGTTAAAGCTACAAAAATTAAGGCTTTAATCATGTTTTAATGATTATACCACAGAATTATCAAAATCTTTCCAGAATAAAATATGAAGTAAAAAGCATAGATTACAAGTTTCTTACCACAAAAGAGCCACGGATCAGCGACAGTAGGTTCCTGCACACGGGGAGCAGGATCAAAAGGCAATTAAAGTTGAGGACAGCTGCAGGAGCTCTGGCCCAGGCGAGGGCCGACTGTGAACCAGACACAAGAGTCTTAGGACACTGCAAAGATCGTACACATGACTATCCTGAACACTTACCCCTAACAGATATCTTGTGTAGTAAAAGTCATCCCCCAAGTCATACAAGAGGTAGAACCAAACAAAGAGGAAGATGTTGATTCCCATCCACACAACCTTGAAATCACAGAAAACACTTTACGTATCTTGCTTTATCTAATAAATGTGGTATTCCATCACCAATTTAACTTAGGTCAGTTGTTAAGGCTGTGGGGAGATCACTGACAACAAATTACTTTTCATCAAGTATACAACTGAAAGTAAGAAACTGAGAATATTGTTGAAGTTACTTTTTATCCTGTTATTCAACCTAAAATATGAGGTTAATGTAGACTCATCACATTCAGAGTGACATGTGCCAAGCTTTTATTAGTAACTTTTTCAAAGGAAAACATTGTTTAAAAATAGTTTTATTTGGGATTTTACAGCTGTGAGCCATAATGATCAAAATGATAACAAATACATGCTTGATGTGTCTCACTTTGCATGTGATACATCTGTCATATATTAGTTGAACACTGTAAATCGGATTACAGTAAATATTATCATTTTCACCTGCACAACCAAAAATACATTTCAAATAGCACATGGATCAAGCAGCTGTGAATTGTTCCAGAGTAAAAGTAATTTCCAAACTTACTAATTAATCTAAATTAGAAGCTGTTTTGGCCAGATGTGGCAACACATCTGCACAGAGGACATTATTTGAAAAACAGAATATGAAAACATGTTAGTAAATGCCCACGTAAAAATAGTGGGCTTGTCCTGCGTGCGTTTATGAAAACACAGCAAAGCAACAGAAACAACATGTGGCAAAGGATAGAACTATTTGGAAATAAAGCTAAAGAATGATTATTGTTATAATTTGCCTCCACAATAAATAATCAAATCACATTTCAGTATCCAGTAGAGCATGTATCCATCCTTTTCATCACTGGCTCAATTTGACTCTGCTACCATTGTTACCTGTTACCATTTCACATGACTTCAAATAAGAATAGTCAACAGTCTACATTGTTTTTGGGAAAATCCTGTAAACTGACCAGTATGAATGAAGTGAGTCCATTGTTGATGATCCAGTTGGCCATAATGCAGACTTCCAGGCTTCCTGAGCATCTCCTGCGCTTTCAGACCGTCGCCTTAAATAGTATCACCGTCTTGATATAACTCCACCTCTTCAACCAATGACGAGAAAAAGAGAATAATAAACTCATTTTATTACAGTCAGGCCCGGGAAACAAAGCCATTAAGTCACTGGATTCCCCCCGACAAGCAGGACTACATTCCAGTCTTTGGAATGAGGAAGTAAAGGGACTTGTGTGAAAGGTGCAACGCCTTCGATGATATATCGTATTATTTCACCATTAACGAGAAAGATGACTATGTGAGGAATACACTTTGGGTCATGACGGTAGTATTTTGATTATATTATGTGCAAGAATATGGTATGAAAATAGACAATAAGACAAAAGCAGCCAGACACTAAGGTATATTAATGGTCATTAAACCACAAAAAATGCTCAAGACATAAATGGATTGATCAACAACAAATAATCTCCATTTAACCAAATAATGTTGGGCTTTGTGGTCTAAATGTGGGCACCCCTGGACTAAAATAAAGATTATAATGGAGTGTAAATAAACTCTCAATAACATAATGGCAAACTCTTGTATTAACATTTCAATATTTATTTTAATTTTATTATTATTACAGAGGTAAACTAGACAAAAATACACATTTTAAACATTGAGCTATAGCTCTTTATGTTTCAAGTAATACATAAAGTAGTCAAGGCACTAAACAAAACATGTTAAGCACAAAGTGAAAGCAGCTCAGGACAGGGTCAGTTGTGTTGCACCAAATCTTCAATCATCGATCTATTACTAAAAGCTTTTCAGGCACATATTACATATCCTACGTCCAATTTTTTTTCTCAATTCTAAATGTGAAAAGAAATAAGTAAAACAAATCCCTTTCATAAAAATTCAAAAGAATGTCTTCTTTCAGCCAGCTGCAGGTCTGAAACAACAGGCATTTCATTTTGTGGTAAGAATGAGAATATGGCTGATTCTCCACATTTTGCCCTGTAACTATAGTTTATTCTTTTAAGTAAACTGGTAGAAATGTGCAAAACAGAGCATCCATGGCATGAATATCCTGTAGTTGTAAACTGCGCATGTTCACATTGGCACCAGTCCCAAACACCTGCTTGATCGACTGGACTCTCAGGGCAGCCTTTGTGCATGGCTGCATACGAAAAACATGCTACATTCTTTGGTACAAAGGCTGTGCAGACATTTAGTGTGTGTAACTATTGTCAAGAAATACAAAAAGAGACATGAGAAGATCCCTTAAGCAATAAATTGATAAAGTTCTGCGCACATAATATAAAACTTGTTTTCCTGAATCTCACAGTTAATTTTTTATAGAGTTTGAATGGATTTCATCTCAAGCTGCTTCCAGAGAATCATCGAGGATGGCCGTCTCCCGCTCCTCCAGTAGGCAGGGGTCCAGAGGTTGAGAGTTCTGGCCGTCCACTTGGTCGTCAGGTACCAGTACCATAGTAGCAGCCTTGGAGTAAGAAGGCTTTCCCCGTCTGCTCCCGGGTGAAACAACGCTTTTTCGGCAACAGACACAATGCAGACAGTCATGGACGTTATACTTGAAGAGGCGTTTGCACGGGTGGAAAAACTGGTAAAACAGAAGCATGAAGAGAATGGCCAGGCCATAGCAGACCAGCAGCTGCACCACAAGTAGCGGCGCACAAACATATTCATAGAAGTCCGACTTGAAGAAATACCAGAGTGTGATAAGGAGGAAGTTCTCCAACAAGCGGCCGCTGTAGTAAAGCGCCAAACGGTCCCATCGCTGCTGCCGTTCAATGAGCTCTCGGTGAGTGAGGTCCAGCTGCACTGCAGACCAGCAGAAGATGTTGATACAGGCATATAGCAGAGTAAACATACACAACACCACAGTGGTACCAATCTTGGAAAAGTTCTTCTCTATGTTCTCAGCCAGAGAGCCTTTTTTGGCCCAAAACTCAACCCAGGGCAGGAAAAAGAAAAATAGCAAGTTCAGCATTCCCACAAGTATAACCCAGTGAGTGAGGGCAGTGCTAAACAGTACTAGGGCAGTGACTCGCGAGGCAATCTCCAAACCTCTCCACACAATTAAGCAGATGTAGGCAGCTGGGCGCAATCGCAACTTGTAGTCGTCATATCGGATCTGAATGGCCAAGACGTTGCATAAGAGGGCACCGTACGTGATTGAAATGAGCGTCACGATCATCAGAGCCACTGTGAACACAGAATGGTCATGTTAGTTTAAGATCTCTTACATTAAAAATGCACTACTCCACTGTCCTGGTGGAGGCCCTCTTTTTTGCAAGAGTTCAATTTAAATGTTGCTGTTTTGTCTGGATATTCATAGAGTGAGTCAATAAACATTCCTTTTACATTGAAAATGAGCATGTGGGGGGATGAATAATGTGAGTATTTTGTTCGTTTTTTTTTTCTTTTCAAGCCATCATTTTATTATAGGTTTTAGGCCAAATACTTTGATGCTGCACTGTTGTATTATGTTCTTTTCTATATTGATGTTTAAGTGTCAATATACATCAATATGTATATATGAATGATGCACATTTTGATTATGATCAAAATGTGCTTCATTTTGATCAGAGTTTTTAATTTATCTAGTGAAGCACTTTGAATTGTGCAACAAATGTGTTATTGATTGATCGGTACATATATAAAACCAAACTGAGCAACATTTCAAGAAATCCAAGAAGCAGGTAACGGACCATTTCCCAGAATATATATAAAGCTTGGGCTTGCTGACCGCCCTGCTTAGCTTCTGAGGTCTACCAGGATCTGGCTTCCACATGTGTGCAGCACTATTCATGATCTTCAATGAAACCATGGTATATTATGTATAAGGTAGGACTTCTTACTTCTGAGAGGAAAGATGTATTTCTCTTGGATGGTGGCATACAGCTGAAGGGTCAACTGAGGTGTGGATCCCAGAAAGGCCTGGATGACCGCAGCACGTTTGAAGGCGTTTCTGTGCGCTGCCAGGTTGCGTTCTGCCTGGCCAATCTCCCACTCCATGGGCGTCCCCTGCCCCTTCTTAAGACTGATCTTTCTTGAAATGGTGACATATGGCTCCTCCTCCTTTCCCGCTTTGAAATACATGACCAGGGCCTCGAAACATCTGAGAAAACAAGAGAGAAGGTGAAGCCAAGTTTTATCAGCAGAGGGCTGTACACACAGTGTGTTAGGCTCCTTTCCCATTCAAAAGAACAGAAGAACATATTTGTAATAAACAATGCAATAAAACAATAACATAGATATTTGTATTTACAATTTATAATAAAGCAGGACCCAGAAAACCATATTTTCAGTGCACAAGGTTGGATCAAGGCTGGATCAATTATTCACAATTTTCGCTCAACTGATCACCATTTCAAATATGAATATATATATATATATATATATATCTGGATGAAAAGCTATTTCCTTAGCCGCCTGACTCACTTTTGACTCAAAATTAATTGAGCCTCCTGATTAGTCTGTCGATAATCATCTACCAAATTTGAGATTGAGATCTTTCAATTATTGGCACAGCTCCAGCAGCAACAAATAAAAAGAAGAAAGGATATTTGTCCCACAATTACTGTATATATAAACTCGTGGAGACCGAGCCTTTTCTGTTGTTGCCCCCAAACTGTGGAATAGTCTACCTCTGTTCATTAGAGCAGCTCCTTCACTGGAAGTTTTTAAGTCTAGTCTAAAGACACCTTGGCTTTTAACACCAATTGAGTTTTACCATTTTACTTTAAATGTATGTGTATGTATTTTATGCGGTTTTATTTCATTTTTTATCTTTCGTGCCTGTGAAGCACTTTGGGCAGTTGGTGTTGTTGTAAATGTGCTATACAAATAAAGTTGACATTGACATAGTAATTATTGTAACTTTACCTCATTACTAAATCCCACATAAAGAAGAGAATAATGCCTTCTTTCAACTTGACTTGCAACACTAGTTTCCTTTTTGTTAGTAAAAGGATCGCCAAAACCAAACAGCAGTGATTTGCACACAGCACTAATCTGACAATCACAGCTGAAACTGCACAGGGCTCCACTAGAGGGCGACCAAGGTACATATGGCTAAAGCATGAATGGATAAATAGAAAGGGAAGGTGTGGCTCTACAATTTGCAAAGTAAACGTTCCCAATGTTCACCAAGGGAGGGGAAAATTCAGGGAGCATACATCACTGGTACTAATGCGAAAAACATGACGAGAAGAACGAAATGGAGAATGTAACATATGTTCAGCCCATAGATTCTGATTAAGACTCTAATGGTGCAAGCGATCGCATTTCCATTCAGTGCAATAGCTGCAATGTAAATCATAAACGATCTTCTAAGCACTTTATCTATGTGTTCTGATATATTTTAAAATGATTACAACACAAAAAGTAGTGGCAGCTTATAGTTCAGATAATATAGGCCGATACTCGATCCCATTCAGTGCCCCCCAAAAAACAGGTAACACTGGTTTTCCACTTGCAATGCCTGTTGTATTATGACTAAATAAAAGCCCCAACACATATGCAGAGAGGAGTGCACATATCATCACTGAGCAGGAATGTTCTCCAACTCAAAAAATCTCTCTCTCTCTCTCACAGATCCAAGGTTTGTAGGGATCCGTGTCAAGTTTAGTTCCCCAACATTCCACAGTCAGCCGTTTGAAATAAGGACAGTGTTGCTGCTGGTTGAGGAATTTCAGTCCAGAAAAACATGCTGCGCGGAGCCTAAAATGCTGGGACAATACTCAAAAACCAATGTCGATTTGTCCAAATGATAAAAAAAAGCACTTAAAAGCTAACATCTAATATTATACACAACCTTGTATCTTTGTCATTACACCATGCAGTTTTAAAGAAGTTCTGATTTAGTTACACTTACACTAAAAAGATTAACGGGACTTTTTGCATCAGTATTATTTTAATCCAATTTGTGTTTGTCCATTGATATTTTGTGAGAATCATGCGAGTCAAACAGAAATGCCGTTTGTTAGATGTGTAACAAATGTAGATGGTGGTTGGCAGTCTGTCCGTCCTCCTGTCATGCCTGGTGCCCTGCTCTCCCCTGGTTCTGTTTTTTTGCCGCATTTCATTTTATTTGTTTTTTCATTTATTTCAGGCAATGACACAGATCAGTACAAGGTAGACTAACAGTAAAGTCACATTGTTCAAGAAGATATAGACAAAAAGTGAATGTACAGTAAATACTGCACGTAAACATGACTACCTTGTTCTGCCTGAAAGGAGTGGGAAGACTTTAACTTAAATAGCACTACAAAGGGGTTCTTTTGATGGGGCTGCTACAAGTGGGAAGCCCCCTAACTTACAGTCTAGTCAACAGTATATTATGACTTTTAACAATGTTGCCTTTTTGTAACTGTCTACAGCCAGAGGGCCATAAACATATGGAACAGAACAGTATAAATGTATAATAAAATATATTGCAAAATTAATCTCATTGTTCTTACAAAAAATACACTACTAAGTTTATTCACAAAGACAGAATGATTAATTTTCTAAAAAAGAACCTTGTTTTCACTTTTGCAGCTGGGGTCCTAATGCTCAAATATCCTTTATAAGGCTGACTCACAGCTGAGTGAGGCCTGAAGGACGTCTCTGAGAGGTTGATGCAGTTTTGAGCCTCGGAGCACTTTGTCTGTGTGGCTTTACCTTTAGGCGTGGCGCGAGAAATCTAACTCTTCAGAAATTGTGCAATTACTTTACCCACATGAGGTCAAATTAGGTTTGACACTCTTGTACAGATTCAAATGTAAATTCTAACTTGATAATTATAGCAGGGAGAAACACATGTATTTATTTTGTCTTTGTGAAAGATGAAGATTGTAAAGGTGTGATAAATGTGGAATGTTATCAGTATAAGTACTGATAAACAGCCAACTGTTATTTGCACCATGCAGAGATTGTTATGATCCCAATATAATATTTGACAGATGATTAAAATATTGGCCTAATAAGATCAAATAAGCATCCATTTTAAACAACAGCTACCAGAGGAACAGGCAGGTCACTTTCAGAGCAGCATGAATGAGAGCAGTAATTAGACAAAACAGCACTTGTTGACCTCTCCTGACTGGACATTTGGACAGAAAGGCCCTGAACTTGCAGTACAGGGCACAGTGCCCCAGTTAATTCTGTTGAGCCATATGCTTTCTCTCAGGAAACGCAGCACTGATAAACGCACTGGTCTAAAATCAATACTCAGACAGCATATCATTCAACAAAAACATGCTGGCTAATGGTCTATAATAAGATTTATCCAGTGAATCAATCATTAAATAAGACAAGGATTTCCATTTACAGTACAGTACAGCATTACTCTCCCAACATACTTCCTAGTCTTATCGTGCATTTTGTTATACACTGTGTTCAAGCTGACCCTGACCGCTTCACCGCTGCTATATTTGACTGTATCATAGAAAGAAAAACAGTACAAGTACTGCATGCTGAAACTGGAATAATGAGTCTATGTATTTAAAGGAGACGTGTCGTGACAAGATCTACCCTGGAGCAAATCACCACTTACACCAAGTTTGCATATCGTCTTTGTAAACACCGGGCTTCCTATGCTTCCTTTAGTCAATAAGAGCAGAAATTACATGAGGGCATTGGTACGAATAAATGTCATACCATGATAACGCTGTGCAGTAATTGACTTGAAATAAACAGAACAACACAGGAAGCGTCTCATCAACAGGAAGAGAGTCACTTACAGAACAGCAACAACAAAATTAGAATGGCTGAAGCATTACAATCTACAAGGTTTGCAAGAATTATTAAAAACTTTTTTTTTTTTTACACGACTGGGTAATTTCGCTGGCAAATTGATAAAACATCACAAGACATGATTTTTTTGTCATGAGACTGTAAACATGGCACACACACATTTAGTGGAGTAAGACTTTTTTGCCAAGTATTATTCGTATTCTGTGGTAGACATTTACAAAAGTGGTGTTTTTGCATATTTGTGACTCATAAAGTACCCCCTTTTTATTACTGCTAGTGTGTTGTGGGAATTTTAACAGTGTAATTTTAAATTGTATTATCTTGCTACAGATGAAAGTGATTATCATCAGTAACATCAAAGCAAAATCAGATAAGATCAGAAGACGACATAAACACTGGGTTTAGGATTTAGACATGAGTAAAATATTTCTGAACCAGAATGAGTCAAAATACTGGTTTCAGTTGTACAGACCGACCACTACTGTTATGAATGGTATTCTTCACTAAAAGATAATAGACATTTGCTGGTCGGCTAAATGTGGTTGTTGATAATTATACCCCTTTTCCTCTGGGCAACTGATCAAACTTGTTTTACCTTTGATACAAAACAAACACACCCTATTATAACTTAACGCACTTATAAAATCCACTAAGCCGCGTAGGTTTATTGTTTACAAGTCAAAGTTCATGGCAGCTGCTGAGGATCGCCAGAGCTTGAGCGTGTAATAAAAAAAAATAGAACATGTTTCATATCTTACTATGAGTCATGGATCACCAAACAGGTCTCCCAGTAAAGAGATTGGATCATGTGGTGTTGGAGTGCAACATTGTGCCCTGAAGAAAGGGCCTTTTTATTTGCATTTCTACTTTCACATACAACAAATGTGTAGACTACGCTTTGAGCCATCTGCAATATAAATATGTGCCCAAGTTTTCCACTATTAATAATATATTGCAGTCTTGTGGTTTATTTTCAATACAATGTGAGGTGAGCTGAGAAACCTGTGCATTGGTAAGAACTCTGAGAGGCACTTTCAGTGGACTTCTGCAGGACTCTTGTTTTACACCTTTATCGTTCTCACAATACATGTTTTACACCCCCAATCAGGACACAAAACTGGAAGTTCACAGGAAACACACACAAGTGTAACAAACACAACATTTAGATTTTGTAGAGTTAATGGAACCTGTAATGCAAGTGTGTTGTGTGCATACATACCTAATGACTGGCCCTAACAGCAGAAGGTGCAGGAGCAGCACCAGGGGCCGGTCTCTGCCCAGGTCTCTGTGGATGAAAGTGAGGGCCAACTGGATGAGCACCGCAGGGAAGAGCATGAAGGTGAGGGTGAAGCCCATCCAGATGTCGTCGTCTGTTTTGTGGTACATGCTGCACATGACCGCAGCAGTAATGAACTCTGCGCAGTAGAGCACCGTGGTGAGGATCACACTGAAGGGGGGGCGAACTCGGCTGTGGCGGACCACCAGCAGCCCATTGTCGGACTCGGGATGGACGTATTCTTGCGGGTCAACCTCAGAGATGTCCCGCTCTTGTTCATGCACCTCCATGGTTAATTCACACATGGCGGTGTGACGTTTAGATCTCTCAGTTACTTTATAACACGCTTCTCTATTTCCACTTATTGCGCCGTGTCCACCAAGTTACCATTAAGTCCTCCATTGCTTTTTCCACGTGATAAAAATAGATGAGGAGAAGCATCTACGATACAGCCCACGGCACTACACGTAAATGTTCCAATAGTGGCCTTACCAGCAGCGAACGCAGCAGTAATGATACTTGTAGTGCCGCAGCCGAACTTCAGCTGCAGATATTCTCAGGAGCCTTCAGCCATAAGGCTCTGGAGCTAGCTCCTCTCCTAACCCCGCTCTGGGCTGGCACAGCCGGCTGGAGAGCACACAGGCTGTCGGGGTGTGGGCAGGTCCATGTGGGAAGTGACAGGGACCAGAGAGCAGTGTAAATCCTGCTGTTTCTGGAGTCGAAACAAACAACGGAGTAAAGAGCAGGCACACACGCCCCGGGAAAGCGGAAATGACGAAAGTGTCAAAATAACACTACCGGAAGTGACCAGGTCAGCGTTGCTTTCTTCTTATGCATTCGTAAACAAATCCATCCACGTTTAAATAACCATAACATTATACAGTTATTTAACCCCGAGGGATTTCTCTGTCTTATTTAGAATGTCTAATTATGCATGATCTGTTTTCACCAAGTAACAGCCCAGAATCACTGCCACAAGTTCATCCTTGTAACCCTATCCTGTCCCTATTATTGACCCTGCACCTAACACAAGTATTAACCTTAACCACAGTGAACCATAGCCTTAACCTTAACCAAAACCCTAACCCCTAACTATTACCCTACTTTAACCATAATCTAATGATACATAAACATTGACAGTGGTATTGACTCTTCATTACTTAAATTACTCAGATCATGCATTGAAGGGGCATTGAATGATGAATTACTTTTTATAAGAGGTTGTGTGTTGGTGCAGATATTTCTGAAACACTTGTAGGCAAAATGTGTTTAATATCCAGCCAGAAGTCCAGAGAAATTTTAATTTTAATTTTTAAATCTTGGTTTCAAAATATGGCCACCAAGCTGTTCATGGTTTTTCACTATTGGAGACAGTTTGTACCTTGTAGTGGACAGTAGGATGTATCTAATCTTTGAGTTACTTGTTCAAGAGCAAAGTCTGTGATGTCTTTTTCAAGCTTCTTCACCAGTAAGTTCTTGGTAAACAACTGCCACAGTATTACTTTATTCTTGTAGTGCCCCAACACAGTAACTTCATGGAAAGCCACTGTTATTTGTATATTCAATCACATATTCTTTGTTATTTCATATTTTTCACGTTTGTACACTCATGTTTTATCAGGATTTTATAATGTGCATTTCTCCTGAATGGAATTATGTAGTTTAAACAATTCATTTATGATATTTGCTAAGTTTTCTTCTGAAAAAACAAAAAACAATATTTCAATTACATCACAGAACTGAAACAACATTTTGAAAACATAAAATCCTTTATGTTCATTGCTCATGTATAAACTGCAAGTTGGACAATAAAAAACCGTAGTATCAAAGAAACACATTCATTATAGCCAATCAATTAGGAAAACGATATATGTTTTAGATGAAGGCTAATAAGGCGACAGACTTTCCTGTCTGACATACAGCATTATATTAGTAATCCTAAAGGCTATTTGCTTGTCCAAAATAAAGCACGATGGAAGGTGAGAGAAACTAGCTGCATGTTTTCTGTTTCCATTTTTAGTTCAGACAAGTGGGCCAGGCTTGGCCTAGCCTGAACAGAGAACAGCTCTACAAACAGGTGCAACAAACCTCCCACTTACACACACTGATTCATACAACACCAAATGTTCCCAGGCTGAGCTCAAGCAGAAAGAGAAAAGCCATCAAGACACAACCGTTTCTTCATACAAAACCAAATGTGAAAACTTCTGTTTGTTATTAACCAATGCATTAAATATGATTTTATTGTTTTAATCCTATATTTGGACATTTTAAGCCTTTTAACAAAAATAAAATAGCAATCCAAACACAACAGTAATAATAAAAATATTCTAGAAATATTCATAATAATTCTGCCATAAAATAATTAAGATGATAAGAGTTAAGGTAAACTTTGTTTTCCCCAGAGGGAAAGTCGTCCTCTACATTGACCCATCTGTTCAATGCCACAAGAGGAAGGTGGAAATCATTTCAAGATCCCTCCAATATGTATGTGTTTAGTTTTAAATTTGATGCCACTACCATATTTTCCTTCTAACTCAACTCTATGTTTTCTATTGTCACGAGACAGAACAGAATCTGGATGTGAGGAGTGCAGAATCAGCAGTTGTGAAACATGTGGCGTATGGAGCCAGTGCTGGGGTGTGGTCACGAGCAGCTGTTCGTCAGTGTCATCTGACTGTGGCCAGGGATGCATTTAGTCAGCAGATTCTGAATGGACAGGCTAAATAACATAATGAGATATGTTACTCCAGAACTCATATGGGCAACAAAAATACAATTATTGAATTATATGATTTTATAAACATGATACCAATATAGCAGTGTGCCATCTAATGGTAGTTTTTGTGTGGCAGCACATCCTATAACAAACTAATATATTTTCCAGTACATAATAAACACTGACCTTTTCATATAAATGACTGGTCAAATATTACATGATATAATTAAAATCCCACACACATCCCATATTTAGGACAAACCTGCATATCCATAGGTTGTTGTACTTAAAGCACATTGTCCAATAGCGTGAGCACACTGCCCACAGGTCTATGTGATTGGCTAAGTGTTCAGCAGCACCTTTCCCAGGTTGCTGCTCCGGCATGGGGTGATTGGGGCTTAGTGTGAGCCTGATTAGTTCATTTGCTGAGTCTGCACTATATACATTGCACCATAACAAATGCATGGCTGTGGACTTGCTTCTGTGAGTATTCAAACCTTTTTTATTTATTTTTTTACCACTATTTTCATATCATGAATAAGTAACCTTAATATTGATATGTAACAACAATGTTTTTAATGCTGCATGCACTTCAGATTGTGTCTGCTGTGATTCACTCTTGGTTAAAGACACACTATAGCAAGATTCTTTAATAATCTTACAGAATAATATATGTTCTCCTTTTGCACAATGTCTGACCTCAGAGTCTGAGTCAAATCAAAAGTGGGACAACAGCCTGTTAACATGAAAGCGGGCCACTCCAAAGTGGCTTTAGAAGATTAGTAGCCTTAGCTGAGACTCTACAATGTTTTATTTAGTAACAACAATTTGACCCATCTGCTCCTTCAAATGTGTTCATTATTTAAACATGTGATTATTTGGGGATATTTAAAATGATTTGCAAGATGAGGTCCATGTAAATGAACAACAAACAAAACTTGCTAGATTTGAACTATTCCTGACTTTCAAAGGACACATTACCATGACTCTTAAATTATAATAAATCTTACCATGTTATTATAGATACCAGTTTCGGAAAAGATGGTGGCCCCAGTGTTCACCTCAAATCAACATGTTCAACCTGATCAGCAACTGCTGCACCTGGGTGTCCAAAATACAGGAGCCCATCAGGTTAGCAATACATTTGTTATTGTTTCCATATGTATGTATGTATGTAACCTTTATCATTATTGCTTCCTATTGCAGAAAGTTGACAATTCTTGTGGTGGGTCTTGACAAAGCAGGAAAAACATCTTCTATTAAGGGGATGTTGCGAGGTAACTTGAAATGTTATATAAAGAATGAATTAGAAATGTGCTCCTGTATGAATGAGGTATCCTTTGAAGCAGAGGCTCATGGGGGAGAAGCTGGACCCACACAGGGCTGTGTGCGACACGAGCTCAGAGTGGAGAACTACCTGGTCACACTGCTGGACACTGGAGGAGCCGCGGAGTGCAGGTGCAAGTGGAAGGAGCTCTACGGTGAAGCTCATGGAGTCATCTTTGTGGTGGACTCCTGTGACCGACAGAGGATGAATGAGGTCAAAGAAGTGTTGGGAGAACTGCTGAAGCACCCCAGGGTGGCAGGGAAGCCACTACTAGTGTAAGAATCACTTCACAAGGACACTGTTCTGTGTTCCATATTGTTTCCATTCCTATGTCTGTGTTTGTTCTCTAGGCTGGCAAACAAGCAGGATAAAATGAACTCTTTTCTTGGTAGTGAATTAATTGAGATTTTGTCTCTGGAGAAGTTGGTTAACCAAAGTCGTTCACTATGCCATATTGTAAGTTTTAATCCTAAATTCAAAAGTATAAACTTACAAATAACAACAACACATTTATTTTTATTTTGTAGGAACCTTGTTCAGCCTTAATGGACCTGCGACGCTGGTCAGATAGAAAGACTTTGAGAGGCCTTCGCTGGTTACTGCGGGCAGTTTGTCTGGACTATCCAGATCTTTGTGCCCGAGTGATTCATGACAGCAAGCAGCCCCTGGAGTCTCAACAAAAAGACAAAACAGGGAAGAAGAAATCCAAATCAGACAGGTGACAAATTCGGTTGGATGCCCTTTTTAAGTACTCTACTAGATCAGCATAATTGATTATTTGATTTAATTTACACTAGGATGGAGTCCAGCAAGTCCAGTCTTCGCCAGGTCCACCGTCCAAAGGAAAGAGAGAAAAAAACAACTAGTGAAGGAAAACTTCAACCCATTCGAAACATGTTGCAAAAGGTAACCTCAAATATCAGCCATATAACGTGCCAAGGCTTAGGTCCAGGTTGACCTATAGGTGTGGAATCCACAGGAAACTTCACTGAAAAAGAAACTGACAAAGAAGAAGAAAAAGAAGCAGCTGCCAAAGGGCAGAGAAAATGAAAAAGATGAGGAGATAGTAAATGATGAGGAAGAAGAAGAGACAACAGAGATCCGTGTGAAAGCAAACAGTGTCCTCATCCCATCTCAGAACAAACCCAAGGCCAAAACAAAGAGCAGGGAGCCATTAGTGGACGCATCAGAGACACCCACACATGGAAATAACAAGACACACAGAGGTATTCTTTTCTAAACATACAGACCAGTTTTACATCGTTGATGACGACACTGACAACTCTTTTTTCAGTCAAAGCTGAAAATAAGAAAAAGAAGAAAGGTGTTAAAGTGAAAAAGAAAAACAAGATCAACACAGAGAGTCTTGATCCATCTTATACACAGCCTGTGGATCTATCCTCAACCTTCGGTAATCATTTGTGTTAAGATAAGATATATATAAATATCACTTGCTTTTTCTAAAGCTGTATCTTCTTTTTCTTGATAGATCTCTACCGAAAAGCCATAATGGCTCTCAAGGAACGTCAAGAACAGGTGCAAGGATAAAATAATAAATGATTGTGTATTAAAGGGATGAACTTCCTCCCACTTGGACAAAATGCGCATGTGATGAAGCCTAGAGTTAAGGTGATGCTATCGGCCAACCATGTCACTTTGAGGAGGTCAAATGCGGCCTTCAAACCAAATCTTCTTGGACTTCAAGCTACCTGATGTATTAAAAAGCAGTGCTTTTTAATTCAAGTAACTATTTTCATTGTAAACCACAGTATCAAATTCTTTTCAATATCCAAACGGTTTGGACATCCCTGGTAGAGGCCATCTGCATTCTTGCTATATGCTTTTGAAGCCATTTTAACTGTATAAAACGTAATTTGTTTTTTTTTTTTATTTATAATTGTGGAAAAATATTGTTTTTTAACAAATACATTTGGTGTGTTTTTTGTGTGCCTGTCTGATACTGTTCTCGTAGTTTTAGAGGTTCTTACAATGATTCTGGTCATCTTCTGTGAATGAGACGATGTTTAAAAATGGATGCATACAGGCCATAAATGAATAAATACACATGTTATGCATTGACCAGTAGCCACATGACCCCATTATGTGGTATGCTCTAAATGTCAGTGAGGAGGTAAAGTACCTTGGGCATTATGCAGTGACCTCACAGACGACCGGGAAATACACAGACAGAGATGTAAACTGTATGGCCAATCCAACATGCTGGTCAGAAAGTTTTACATGTGCTCTGTGAATGTTAAAACCTCCCTGTTCCAATCTTTTTGTGCTCCCTTATACACAGCCCAACTATGGCGGAGCTACAGTATATGCAGGCCAGTCTGCAGAAGGTAACTGTTGCCTATAATGACTCGATGAGGATGCTGCTGAAGATCCCCAGACACAGTAGTCCAGTCAGATGTTTGCTGAGTGCAGGGTGCGCTCCTTTCCTGCTGCCCCACGTCACTGCTACTATCGGTTCATGTGTAGAGTGGTGAGGGTGCCTAATGCTATTGTACAGACCCTGGTTTGTCCTTACATTAGCTCAGTCAGGTTCATTTCTATACTTTAGGGTCACTGGCGTACTTTTCTGTATGTGTGACTTGCTGTAAATATGTGAATAACATAACTTTTTTACTTTTCTTTCATTATTCTTAGCTATGGATCCTGTGCTTGCATGTGAGTCCTTAATAAAGTCTAAAAAAATAAAATGATAAATAAATGATCTGGTCCCACTGGTCCCTCGTCTGCAGAGCATATGGATGGAGGATGGAGTAGCAGGCATAGGCCGTCTATCTATGACAGTCTTTCCATGGTATGAAAAACTGCGGAGCAGCAGGAGGGCTCCCTCCAGCGGCAGCAGGGTGTCTCTGCTCCGGCCTACAGAACCTACAGACCGCCTCAGACCCACGGCCCTTCCCCCTGACGCATCCTCAGAAAGCCTCCACTCTCACATCAGAGCGAGCGCCTGTTCGTGTGCACAAAACATGGCTTCACCAAGGACAATTACTATTGTGGCCCTTTCTTTTGCGTTGGGTCTATTCTTTGTTTTTATGGGAACGATTAAATTAACGCCGAGGCTTAGTAAGGACGCGTATAGCGAAATGGTAAGTACCTAAATAAACGCATGTACTTGTACAAAAGCCATTGTTCTCTTGGGGATGCAGACACCAAAGGCTGTCGTGCTCATATAATGTGCGAGTGGAGACGCTGACCTAAATAACCGCACATGTATAAGATGGACCTTTCTGGAATTTATATTTTTATTTAGGTCTTACTTTCCCCTACAATGACGTGTTTCGATTGTTGGTACTATATAGTATTGATAGTGTGTGAGAGGTCTAGTGTTTTGTAGAGAAACTGTATCCATCACTGTTCCTTACATTTGCACTATGTATTACAATCCTGATCAATTCTGAGAATCGTAAGACATTTGGTTTACTATGTACCCATGTGCATTAATAGTAACACATTTCTAAATGTTCGAAGTTGTACCTTGGATGTGGCATCATTATATGAGAATAATGGCGGCGCATTCGAGAAAATTCTCAGGATGCACCTGCCGCTGGTGCTGATGTTGCTCAGATTCATGTAAAGGGTGTGACTGCAGACTCATATCAAATTATGTTAAAACGATATGAGTTTTCACTTCCACTGCAGTGGAGATGATACTGTACTTCAGTCACCCGTGTGCATGTGCCCTGTGTGTGACCCATATCACTGTATCACTACATGTTCTTTCTTTCCCCAGAAACGAGCCTACAAGAGCTATGCCAAAGCACTCCCGGGTCTGAAGAAGATTGGTGTGAGTTCTGTCCTGCTCCGTAAGATCATCGGCTCTCTGGAGGTTGGCTGTGGAATTGTGCTTACCTTGGTGCCAGGAAAGCCAAAAGATGTAGCAAACTTCTTGCTCCTGCTGGTCATGCTGGCAGTGCTCTTCTTTCACCAACTTGTTGGAGACCCCCTAAAACGTTATGCCCATGCTTTAGTTTTTGGCATTTTGCTTACGTGCCGACTTCTAATTGCACGCCAAAGTGAGGAGCGGCCAGAGCGTGAGGAAAGCCGAGAAGAACAGTACCTCAATGACCAAGAGCGAAACAAAGTCAAGCAGTCTTAAGCTTGTCTTCAGTTATGATCCAAGCCACACAGATGCACTTGTGTCTTTTATGGATTGGAATAATTGAATTTTAAGGATATGTTTACAGCCATCAACACTGCTCCTGAACACAAAACTTGATGCATCAATAATCTGAACTGAATATTCTTTTATGCTCTCATTATAAAGATCATATCCTCTACACCTCTGTGAACAATTATAATGGAAACAAATTGCTCATCCTGTCGCATCACTGAGTTTATCCCACTTTCTCTACCTTGTTTCCCTCACATTCAGTGTCATATTAAAATGGTGTCCTTTTACTCTTGAAATATATGGGGGTCTATTCAGTCTTGTTGTTGATGGTAGCAAATTGTATTCTGACTGGAGAAGCAGTTAAGAAACTAGTTAAGAAACGTTTTTTTTTAAGTATGCATGAATCATAATTCCCTTAGGCGAATAGAACGGGTCTTTTCAAGAGATTAAACTGGCTGACCGCTCAGACTGTGTCACATCTGTTATGGAAACACTCAAATCTACCTTTTCACCTATTTTTATTTTCAAATGTGACGATTCATTTGAATGATTATTGATTTATTTTCTATAAGTAACATGGGACAAACATACACTTTAATTTCAAATTTACGTAAATGTTTTAATACAAATATTATGTAAATTCTAGATTTAAATAATAAAGGGTTTGGAATTAACTGACTTGCCTGGCCTTTTGTGTAATGTTGACGTTTTTTTTTTTTTGAAATGGTAAATAAGCATACAGTGAATAAACCGTTTTTATTATTATTGTTACTATCATCATCACTGTCATTATTAATATTATGTAGTATGTACATAGTATTCGTAGTAATAATTTCCTTTAATGTTTTGAAGCATACTTCTGTAAGATAATATAATACAATTTGAATGTTTCTTGGACTACCCTCGACAATGTTTTCATGGGACACGGTCATTAAACTACAATTCCCATCATGCCATGTCGACCGCAGTGCGCAGGCGCAGGGTAAACGGTCGCGCGTAGATTTGAGATTTGTTTGAATGGCATGAGTCTGGTTCAGAGTGAGAGAACCATTACAAGGAAACGTACAACTACATGTTCAGCAATGTGGAGATGGCAGCGCGGCTGAATGCATCTGAAGCCTCGGACTCGGATCAGTCTTCTCCGGGAGATCAGAGTTCGTCGACCCGCAGCAGGAACCGAAGTCTGAGGCTCGCAGAGAAAGAGAGGAGGAAAAACGAGGCGGACTCGTTCAGTTTGGCCCTGAAGTATTTCACTGAAGGTCAGAATAAAACCCAGAAAAAACCCCTAAAATGGACTGTTATTATGTAACTATGTTGCCTTTAGCTGTAAGGCTGCACTCGTTGTTTACCAAGATTGTGGAGGATTTCCTGACATTAACTGTACCATGTTTATAACAGGGTGTGTTTACTGTAATGTTCACTTAGTAAAGTATCAGTAAACAAAGACCGATGGATCTGGAACAGGCTCAATTCCAGCACTGCTTCACGATGACTTTGGTTTAATCAACATTATAATCCATTGTTATTGGACAGTATAGAAGAACAATACATTGTTCTTCCTTTCCCTGTTGGAATTCATGTATATTTCTATCAAGGCAGTAATTAACTATTATTTTGATGGACAATTAGTTGGAAATTGTTCTTTTGATTCATTAATTGTTTACATCCTGAAAGATCAGTGATTGTGGGATTTTTTAAAGTATTTAACCAAAACAAAGCGATGTCATGCACATAGCAAGTCTCTCCCCTTCTAGAGATACATACATACATATATATATACCTAAATAGGTTGTATGATTAAAAAATGTTGTAAACACCTATCATAGGTGAAAGATCAAGGCTATGCTCACAGTCAGAGAGCAGCCGTCCTCCTGTGGACTCACCACCTGCAGAGGGTCAGTGAGGGGGTGGTGCTATGAGACTTGGGTGGCATCTCTGACTGCCACCCCCCTGACCCAGAAATGGATTAAAGGGTAGAAAATGGATGGATGGATGGATGGTAAACACCTATCATAGAAATGTCTTTAGGGAAGAGTCATCATTTAATTTAGTCTCAAAAGGCGATGATGTTTTAGTTTTAATAATCCTTTTGGTTGCAAATAATGGATTAACTTCACAGCCCTAAATTCTACATGTTCTCCATTCTAGTTAAATCAGGGACTCCTGTTGTGGGAAACGATGATTTTGAAAGAAATCTTGTGTGTGTGGAGAAGACTGCCTACAGCAAAGGACTTCATCCTGAGGCTGTCTCAACAATGCTGGAGTTTGCCATGAGCTGCCGAATGGGTAAACCTTTATGAAACAACCAAAAAGTGTTGCTTGTGAAGAACTAGTCCAACAGTTCAGTTACTGATGTTTCAGGATCATCTCCCTGTGCTCGAGTGCTGAAATGCCTGCTTCCTTCAAGCGTGGTGCCGCAGGAGGCTGTTGTTCGGGCTGTGGTTTGGCTGGGAATCAGTAAAATACCAGTCAGCACTCAGGTAGGAAAATGTGCATTTGAGGGAAAAGGTCTTTCATGTGGGAAAGTCTACATACTTTTTCCACATTAAAGACATCTAAATACTGTTTATCATGCAGTATAATAAGAGAAACATGTAAAAATGAATCAACAATGTTCCCAAATGTTATATGACCTTTTTATACTTGTATAATAACACAGAATGTATTCAAATGTCATGGCAACTATACATACAACTGTTTATTCTCTCTAGATTCTGTTTGTGAAGTGGATACTGACCATGTTTGACTTGATTGATGGAAAGGCTCAGCTTCGTGCGATTTATGGCTTCATCTTTAACTTTGTGACAGATGAAAATCTGGTATGGAATGCATTTTGGTTTTCTATTTTACAACTAATCCAAAGATGTATAGATTTATAGATGCTATGTGTGGAATATATTTTTAAATAAAGTTATGAACATAGGGGATGTCTATTTTCATAACCTTGTGTTTAAACAAGTTCACACTTATGTCCCTCTTTGAGAACCACACTCACTTTTACAAGAGAATGTAAATAATTTTTGCTTCAATTATAACGTTAAAACAATCAATTATCACATTCTTTTCAGTGTCCATTTATTTGTCATCTGTTATACCTGCTGACCCGAAAAGAAAGTGGTAAGAACAAGTTTTCATTCTTTACATCGTCAAATTGTAATAACAACGATAATCAGTGGTTTCTTATTCTAGTGCGGGTTTACCGAGTTCGGAAACTTCTAGAGCTGCAGTCGAAACTGGTAAACATTTTAAAAACTCTGTTACCAATGGATTGTTCTGTGGTTATAATTGTTTTCACTTATCTCCTGCAGGGAAGGCAGCCTTTCCTCCTGCATCTTCTGTCACTTTACAAAGTGTTTTGTCCAGAGTTGGTGACACTCTCCATTCCATCCCGAATGAAGGTTTGTAAGGATTTGTACATTATTATTATTTTACAATTAATTCAACTTGTAATATTCACTGTTTTGTTTCAGACTGGTTTTAAAAACTACAATTCTCCCTGGAAAGCTGCACTTGTTGGGGTCCTGAAGAGGAATGGCTCTCAAGTTGCCCAAAGCATCAACCTATTAGCCTCTGCATCTAGAAAACGGGTAGGATATAACATTTCTCCTGGCTATTGCAACTATTGCATTATTACCATAGCTATCAGAGTTATCTTCAATATTACTAAAGGATTAATTAATTGAATCATTTTCCATTGTTTAGCCATCTCAATTGATACTTACATATTGTAGAATTGTCTTTTTGTTCATGATCCCTTTCCTATTTCCCCAGAAACTTGGCCACATGGACCTGCCTGTGCTTGCGCCGGCTGTGAACACGCAGGCTGTGTCTGAGTCTCTCTGCAAAAATGTGGTTCCTTTGGTGCAGATACAGTCTTTCACTCAGCTGCTGGAAAATATTCACCAAATAGAGGTAATCAGACAAACTTGTGATGGATATATATGCAATGTTGTGTTGTATTCTTTGAACCACAAGGTGGTGCTATGCAACTGCTGGTTGTTACCACTTTAGCCTGAGGCTACAAAAGTAATGAAGAGACCTTTATATAGATTCTTCCCTGATTTACTGACAGGGTAAATGTCATTGCTAAATAATTTGTTAATGAAGGATTAATTTATCAAAAAGTAAAATATTGTGAAATAATAGATAATAATAAATAGACATGGTTATAAAAAGGAATCTTGCTCCTGTGTTTGGTAGTAAAGCTGATGAATCTTAAATGAGCGAGGTACTTCTTTCCCCAGTAGTTTTTTTTAATGACTACATTGCCTTGCACTGTTTTTGTTTTAACCAGTTGCCTGCTCAGATGGGCTCTCTTCTGGGCTCCAGTCTGGCCTTGCAGTACCTGGATTGCCTACAGGATGAGTCTGCCCTCCTACGGATGAACTTCTGGCTTGGTTATGCTCTCCACGAAGGTGAGAGAACAAAACATTGTGACATCTTCTGTAAGGAGGAAGTACCCAAACCAGAGCTGGCTGCGGGCTGAACTTTCCCACTCTGAGCACGGCCGACATATCAAAGACTCTCCTCTCTCAGAAGGCCTTAAAAAGGCTCTAGAGACCTCACTGCGAAAAGATGCTCTGAATGTCAATTTGTGTTTCCTCTCCTCATGGGCACCTTTTTCCTTTAGAATTTCTATTCTTCAACAACGGAGGAGCGAACCAAAACTCAGAAGAGGCTCAGCAGTTTTTAGAGAAATTACTGTCTACGCAGCACTTTCTTCAGGTGAGCCAAACGTCACAAAATATCCATCTGCCTTCTTTGATAGGAATGGTGCATATGAAGAGGTATCTGTAAATATTTTGTAAATGTTAAGAGGATATCAAATATGAAAGTTTCCCTCTGCTGCCTCTAGGCAGACACCGCAGATGAAAACATAATTCAATACTTTAAGTCTTTAATTTAACCTTTATTTAACCAGGAAAGTCCCATTGAGATACGAACCTCTTTTTCAAGGGAGTCCTGGACAAAAGGACTGGCACGGTGGCTGAGTGGATAGCTCTTTCATTTCTCAGCAAGAAGGTCCTGGGTCCTGGTAGGGGAAACCGGAACACCTCCGGGTGTTCCGGTTTCCCCTACCACTACAAACATGTTCAATAGGTCTGGCATGCGCCTCCTGTACTGGCGACCCCGCTCCCATCTCTGTGTGGAGTGAGAGACAAATGCCCACAAATAACAATTGTAAACCGCCTTGTGACTCTGGTCTGTGAAAAGCGCTATATAAATAAAGATTACTTACTTAATTATTTACTTCCCTTTCTTTAGTTTGATCACTTCCTTATATGCAGGAGGACATTTAACAATAACTATATATTTTTATTAATTTAAATTCAGGTAATTTCAGGTAGTTGTTTATAGTGGCAGGCGCAGGTATCATGCAATTGTAACCATTATATCACCCTTAAATATAATCTTTCAGATTGGTGATGCAAAGTTGCTTTTGTTTCTGGCACAGGAAGGGTTTTCCAGCACGGAGGCTTTTCTGTACAAATTTCTAAATGTTTGGGACGGAGCCCTGATGCGACCACAGATCCTGGGTCTTATGAGTAACATTCCAGTTATACCAAGTTCACGTATGTTTAACTCACATTTACTATTCCTCTCAATGATTGTCTCTCCTACTGTACATTGAGTTTAAAATATTCAACTGTTTTTACAGATATTGGGCAACTTTTGTTTGAGCCTCTCATACAGCTTTTTTTCACCTCCTCACTCTTTTTCAAGGTAGGTTTCTGTAGATATGATTTATTTAATGCATGCTACAGTGAGCAGATCTAATTTGGGCCTCTGTGGGTGTGGCGGGCTGCTCAGTGTGGATTGATGGAGTGTCTCAACAATATGCTGTTAAAATGGCTGACGTGGCACTCGGTTTATGCCTTGGAGGACGACTTGGACATCAGCCTGAATAGTCATACGTCTATGTGAGTGTTATTTCATTTTCAAAATGTCATGGTTAATGCAAATTTTCAGTAATGTTTTCTTATGAAAACAATGCCACTCCACAATGTGTATTTATCTTGATTTGTGTGCTACTAATGATCCTTGTTTGTGCGCTGCAACACAGACATTTACCCAAGCTGGGACTACTAGGCTCACTTTTCATACTAGCATTCGTGTTTTAAGTCCCAGTGTTTGTCTTGCTGCTGAAGTCAAGAGACAGGTCTCTTCTCCCATTTGCCACTTAATGATAGAGAATTTAAAATTCTGTCAAGGGAAAGGTTTTCAGGATCTTGTTATGTTCCAAAAACAGTAAAGTAATGCTTAATGTGTGCTTGAGGTGTTTGTGGTCTGTGTTTCAGAAACATGACGTTATCAGGTTTTAAGAACTCTGTGATGGAGCTGGTGTATTTTGTGGGTCGACTTGCGTCTGTGGGACTCCAGGGGGAAGACTGTCATTCGCTCCTCCTCAGCTTTGTTTTGGACTTTTATGAAACGGTACAAGACATAGCTTGAATCTAATTTAACATATCCAAATATGATTCATCCTAATCATGTTTTCTATCACATTTCTGTAGGTGTGTGAAATGTTCCTTAAATACGGCCTTCCCCTGGTGGTGATGCCTCCTCCTGGTGTTTTTTACCCCGCGCTCTTTGCCACTGACCCTGTGAGTGTGGACCGGCTGGCCTACATCATGTACAGGTAGGAGACCTCTGCATCAGGGTGGCATTAGGGTACTTAATGCAACCCCAGCACATGTAATGGCATTTGCCATACTCATTCATGTTTAATGGCAGAACTGAGCTGGAACCAAACTGCGTGATTGCACTTACATGTAATGCATAATTTATGATAATGAGAAGCTAAGTCACACTGAAGCTCTCTGCTGCTTTATGTCACTTATAACTCAATAGCTTTGTAAGGAAATGTTACTCATTATAGACTTCATGTTGTGTTTATTAAAAAGAACATGATTATGGTTTCAAGTTTGGAACAGATCTGCGAGATAAATGGGTTTCCTTGTTCTTTTGGACAGATACAAAATTAACTTGGCATCAGCCAAGTATCAAGAAAAACGAATGGAGGTGAGTCAATATTTGTTTTCTTATATATTTCTTAATATTTCAGTCTTTTGTTAACCAAATCTAAATACTTTTGCCTCATTCTTTAAAGTAGAGCGTCTCGTACATATCTCATGATGATGTTTGCTTCACCCCTTCAACACACAAAACATCTTTCTTCACAAAGGAAAATATTTGGTTTAGTTACCATCTTGTCTCCATAAATATTAGAAAGCGTTTTTGACATCGTAAGACCCCTGTGTTAGAAACATATATATTATGATGTCTGAGGCAACATAAAATTCATTTAGATCTGCCTTTTCATCCATCCATTTTCATCCCTTTAATCCATTCCTGGGTCGGGGGTTGGCAATCAGCTGCCACCCAGTTCACAGAGCACCAGCCCCTCACTGATGGTGGCGAGTCCACAGGAGGATGCTTCTTAACTCTGCTTCTTAACTCTGTCAGTGACGGCATAGCCATGATCTTTTGGCAGGGGCTTCAAGCTAAGTGGGATTAAGTGTCTTGCCCATGGACACATTGGCAGCAGACATCAGTTTGCCTTTGAATGATTGTGAAATACACATGACACTTGTGTCTAACAGATCCCCCTTGCCTCATCTTTCCTTTCTAGCAGGCCTTCCACATAAACCGGCAGACGTTTCTTGAGTTTAACCACTATGCGGTGCTGATGGTAAACTGCCTCTGGAACTCAAAGATGTTTGGGCCGGGAACAGGCCTCGAGCTGAGTGAGAGTCTGCTTTTGAAGAGCAAGGTTCCCAACTACGGAGCCAGCTTCCACCTGGTGCACCACCCGGCCTTTCTGAGCTACGCTGTGGACTTTCACCAACAGGTACAAGCTTTTAGATCAACAGATGGGAAATACTTAAGGAAGAAATAGAGACATGACCGGAGGTTGGGTCCATGAAATCAAGACAAGATTGTTTAGTATTAAAAATATGATTAGCTCCAACTATGACAATAAACTACATTTTCACCATAACCTTGAGTATTGGGCTAAAGTTGACTTGTCTGTTGGCGTGGCATCTTTCTCTCTGAACACCAAAGACAAATGAGATATAAATGTGTCTTCCATTCCATTGTTTTGGACAGTCTACTACATTCATTTTTGCATGTCCTGACCTAATACTGTATCACTGTTGTGTTTGTTCAGTGCTGGCCCAAGAGAAACGATTTGGACCTCAATTCCATAAAGGTACAGTTTTTCTCTTTTGGTTTACAATATTGTTATAACAATGCACAAACGTACATACACCTGTTACAATATGCAGATAATAAAAAAACATTAAGGTAATAGTGTGCCTGGGCTTTACATTTTTTTAATGGCTGAATCAGGGACATGTGGATGATTTGGCAGCTTTGTGAGCATGTTTCACAGAGCAGGCTTCTTTCAATATTGAGATTTAAAGTGTACAACATATATGATTAGGTGTCATAGATAATCAGAGATTGCAAACAAAAATGTGCTGGTTCTATCAATGTTTTTACGTTTTGATCGTTTGGAAGGGGCTGGGGTAACTTTACTTTACGTCATCTTGTTTAAAATTGTCTTCATCTTCTGTGCACTTGTAAGAAAGAGAGAATTGATTGGTTGAGTGAGGGTGGGCATCACAGAGGACAAACGTACATGGATTTAAAACTGTTATGAAAAACCTGTTACTGGCACTCAAACATACTCGTTATATTTTGTTGTTGTTTGAAAGTTAGGTACCCCAGCTTTAACGTTTCCACACTGTATTTTACTAGTTGTGAGATCAATTGATGCATTAGTATGTTAACATTCCTAATCTGTCCTGGTGTTGAAATTGTATTAAACTAAAGGATGGTGGTTTCATTGCGGGTTTTTGCCACATTAATATCTTTCAAAATCTTTTTCTTTTAGCAATCAAAGGCTTTGGGGTGGTACCTGGAGTTCCTCATTTCTCAAGGTTTCGACGGGCTCAAACATTTTGTGGAGAGTAACATTAGCTGGCAGGTGACCGGAGGCCAGGGAGACTCAGCGTCCACACAGACGCGGTGAAGGACACAAAACCCACTCGCGGATTTGAAAGACTTTCGAGTGACTTGCTATTTATCTGAGTGTATGTTGTAAATAGATATTTCACTTGTATTTTAATTTTTTTTTTTAAGATGTCGTCTTTAAAATTGGTGTACAGTCAAAAAATATAATTATAGCACAACTGAATGACTAGATGTGTCCCTCGGTCTTTTTTGAGAATCGCAATAACATTTTTTTGCTTAGCTTTTTCTGCTCAGGCCTGTATACATTTCCATACTTATGTATTCTCTGTAAATAAATAGGAGTGAGATTTTATAACAATCATGCTTTGTTTTTTGTATTTAATTTTTATGTTGTTGGTACTTTGATTGGAAGTATAATTTTATTTTAAGTAGCATCTCGCCCCAGTGGGCTTTTACCACAGAAAAGAACAGGTGAACTCTGAAAATTAGCATAGTGCTCAAAAGTTGAATACATTAACTTTTGAACAACACTTTAATTTTCCCAGTTTCATCTTTTTAGTAATGATGTCAGTTTAACAAATGAGAATCAGCAAAAGGGATAAACCCATTGTTTATTTATAGATATCATGAAGGACACTACACTTTTTTAGAATAAGGCAACATTCAATTTAAGGTTTTGTTCTTATTATTAAGGTTCTCAATACCATGACATGTTTGTTATTCAGTGAATTATCATTTGATGTCATTGTAATCACAAGTAAAGAAAAAGGGATACAGGCAGTAATCAATTTAAACTTTGAGCAAACTTTTGTCAATACACGGCATTTTTATAGCAAAATTCATACATAGGGCAAAGATTCACTCAAGAGAGGAAGCATAAATGATCACAAAACATGCATATTGAGAATTCAAACTGGATACCCGGCTTTCAGTCCACACAAAAACTCAATTATGTTAAGTTCCTTGTTCTCAAAAGAGTTTAGTTCTACATAGTTTTCACGTAATGTTTAATAGACTCCCAGGGCTCCTTCTTACGGGTATGAAAAATATTTATTTTCTATAAGATAAAGACAATATGCAAGATAATATACTGTGATTAGACTAGTTACATATATTATCTATTTCGATGAAGTCAGGTACCACAGCTTTCTTTAATAAATAAATTGAGGCAATATTAGTTTTATGTTTTACTTTTACATAATATACCCGCTTTATGCAAGATTCTCTCAAATTGACCGAGAGCAACCTCCATCTCTCCGGACAGTGGCACTCCCTCGCCCCCCTCCGCCCCCTTTCCCGGGCAGCGCTCCCCTGACGCAGCCCTAAGTTTCCCCCCTCTCCTCCTTCACTTGTTCCCGCGTATACATCCTCCCAACAGCCGCTCGCAGGCTCCAGAAGACACTGTGGCTGGTGTGAACGCGCGCAGTCAGGGATGTGAAGCTCCAGAGAAAGACACACTGCCTTACTACCGCTACTACCGAGCCTCCACACCGCTTTTCTGCACAGGAGTAGCCGCTTATCTCTGCCTCTTCACCGGACAGACATCCATCCCAGATCCCACGCCAGAGTTGGTCCACCTGAGACCCGATAATCTCCCGCCTCAAAGCAAGGTAAGCCCAGGAGAGATGTCGTTTACGCGCGCCGGGTTCGCTCTTTTGTCTTTTAATCTAATTTTGCTTCATGTTTAGGACAGAGAAATGGTATGGAAGTGGGTTAGTTCCCCTTGTCCATCCCCCCCATGGCTTGCCCCAGTCTCCCCCAGTGTGTAATGTGATGTTACTGTGAGAGCTGGTTTGGCACCTCCATCACGATGCATGGTCCTATACGCGCTCTTTGGCAGCGAGTGAGCCGTCTGCAGTCAAATATGTCCAACTAGAAAAAACATGTGCGTTAAATATATGACTTAGAAGAGGTATTGGGGCTCAGTGACACGTATGCCCTAACATATACACGCTTGTCTCTGAATGAAATCAACAGAATTTCATTTGGAACAGCAGTATTACGCACAGTCTGTCCGCGCACTATATCAACAAGTTTCCACCAAAGTCGTAAATGACAACGCAGGTTAATGCTGCATTTTGACTTTGTTCGAACACTGACGGAGTTTCGCACATAGCAAGGTTTTTACACACACTTGTCTTAAGCCATATTTTAACTAGAAAAACACGTATTGTGCGCTCTATGTCAGGATCGAGTTGGAAAAAACGGAATATTGCTTGATGTGCAACTCGCCTTACTCCCTCATAAAGCTTTAATATGACTTTGAACATCAAAAACATTATGACCGTTCTTTGTCTTGCCATTTGGTTTCGTAGCTTTGATCACACCTATAAAGCGGGTTGAGTGTTGCACTGTCCTCTGTTGAAAGGCTATAGTACAATCCAGCACAAAGTCAGAATCAGCCATTTGAACAATTATCAACCTACATGTTCCATCAATTTTATCTTTAATGCAACACTATTTTCTAATATACTTCATTTCTCCCCCAGTCATGTTCTGACTGTCAGGATCTAACCAATTACAGAAGAATTAAATGTATTATAAAGACATATTTAACCATTGTGCCACAAATATAGACAACTGATAACATTTAAATCATCATATGGCCTAGATGATGTGGGTATGTTTCGGTTGCGAGAAACTTGAATTGTCCTTGAAAATGTGTTTTCTGCATTTGACCCATATCCTTCAATTCCATTGGACCAAGGGCAGCTGTGCTCTTGTAGATTATCTAATTACCTAATGCTACGTGTGCTTCAAGCGCAAGCCCCTGCGATCCAAGATGGCGCCGTATTCAAATGAATGGTTTGTGCTCAATGGCACATTGTGCCGCTAATCTTTTGGGCGACCAAAGATTAGCAGAACTCGCCTGGAACTTGCAAAGATCCATGGGAAACTCGCCTGTATTTGGGCATCGTCTGGTCCTCCCGGTTCTGCGCAGTGGATGAACTTCCATGATGCGTTGCGCGAAATACGCATGTTTGTCATGCACGTGCACAGAGGGGCTCGGCCGCACGCTGACCAATCAGAACTGCTCATCAGAGCGGAGCTAGAGCGGGAGCCAGACGGGCAGAGTTTGTGGCAGTAAATTGTGGATTTAAAGAAAACCGAAGGATTTAAGAAGAAAAAAAGTTCAGGATCCGACCTTTATGAAAGCTGTAAGTTCTCTGTCGGCTGAGGTCGAGCTGTTTTAGTTTATATTGAGTTCTATGGGGAAATTGTCTGGGTAGCCCACGTGAATTTAGTCTGGTTTAGTCTGCAGTACCGCGAGAATCCCCCGAGCACATGGGTTCTTCAGCTCCAAGCTAGTAATACCCTATCCAGTTATTATAATAGATCCATGTTCGAGCGCTACACGGAGGACATTTCTACCCCTTCATTCGTCCAAACAAAACCTGTGGAGGATGTGGTTGAGGAAGTGTTGTGAAGTTCCTCTGCCCTCTACTGGCCGGGCTCTAGAACTACATTGTTTTCAGTCATCATGTGCACTTAAAATAAGGATGCTGGTCGTTTTTGCAAATTTTTTTGCAGCGTTCCCCTCAGCATCTCCACAGCGTCTCTACAGCGTCTCCACAGCCTCTGTCCAAACGGGGCCTAAGTAATGTGGCAGTGTGTTACTCCACTTTAGATTCCGACTCGGCACAGCTAGTACTCAGCTGTTCTTGTGAGAGACAGGATTATGACTACTTCATTGTCTCTGCTTATTATTAGCTCCATCTGCCTGCCACTATTGGTTTTGTTGTAATATCAATTTTTAGCACCTCCATTCTTGATCCCTTTTTATGCCTATTATTGACATGCAAGCATAATTACACATGATATTTTAATGTATAGGCTATATAAAATAATGCTGTATTTGAGAATGTGGGAGCTTTATCTTACTCATCCCAGACATAGGCTTTTTCCCTTTACAGATAAAGGTGAAATAGACCCATTACATGCAAAGTGACATATGCCAATCTTTTGTTTGTTGTCAATTCATAAGATAAGAGTTCCTTTATTCGTCCCACAGTGGGGAAATTTAGTTGTTGCAGCGCACATACAGGACAGTGGTAAGAGCACACAGGGAGCACACAATATATACAGAATACGTAGTAGCTATGTTTCTTAACTAGCATAACTGGCTGTAAATGCTGGAAATGCTTCAATACCAGTCAAAAAATATATACATGTAGTAGTGCAGAGTTATGTACTGTACATATAGTGCAGGATGATAAGTAGATAAGTAGATAGAGATAAGTAAAAATATAAACATTTTAGGATTATTTTTATTTGTTATAATATCTCTATCAGTTGATCTCCAGAGCTGATGACGTAGCACACATTCCTGTTTCAGTGTGTTTATGTGAAGAGCAGAGAGAGACACCAGGGGAATACATATGACTTGTTTTAATGTGATTGCAGTTCATTTTTTTTGTGAGCCATTATCAACATTATAACATAAAAATGCGCTTGATGTAGCTCACTTTGCATGTAATGAATCCAAATATTGTTTTCACATATCTTGAGTAAATGGACTTGAGATTTAACCCTAACCTTTGAGATATATTTTTTGTTTATAGAAATAGGCAGCTGTGGTTACAGTAGTAGTTTATCACTACCTTGTATGGAGTGAAAGAATAATAACATGCAAAGTGTCTGAGTGTACTGAAAAGCGCCATAAAAAAACATTGCATTATTATTAAATAGAGAATCTTTTTGCTCATAGTTGACTGTTGCATCTCTTGGTGCTTCAGTCTGCATATTCATATTCATGGTCATTACTAGAAAGAGCTTGTTTGTTTCAAATTCACTCAGCATTATGTGTGTGCATGATTGTGGTTAAAGGGCTGTGTCCTAATCTACAAAGAACATTCCATGTAAGATTTAATACATTATGTATCTACTTTAGAACATTTAATATTTCATTCATGAGTCTTGAATTATGCTTTGTTAATTGGCTTTTGTAATGTAATTTGGAGACGATTTTTTTTTTTTAAATGGAGACTCACAATGTCTTGGCTTTTTTTTTGCTTTCTCTTCTTTTTAATTCAGGGGAGTGATCTGGAAATGTCACTCTCTGTTAAAGTCTGCCTGCGGTCTTCTGTTAACTCTAGCAGAGCGTTAAGAATTAGCAACCTACCAACTGCTGGAGCCCGCGCCCTAATGTAAGAAGATCCCTTTTTACTACGAGAAGGTGATGCTAGGTCAGAGATTGATATGACGTGAGGCAGTGGATCTCTGCTTTAATTGTTTTGTATTTGGCTTCAGAAGAGAGGGACAGTAGAGCAGTGGTGGCCTCGTCAGCCCTGTAGGCTGGAGACTGGCCAGGGAGCAGATATGATTTAATTACAGTTGACCTCTGAGCTTACCGCATTGATGTCACCTTAGACCCTTGATAAAGCTGGCAGTCAAATTGTGATTTACACCATGCTTTTTATTACTGTGTGTTGCCAGATTGAAATGAGGTAGTCTATAACTATTGCATCGATCCTTGGGCTGCATGACTTGCAAAATATCTCATACAAGATGTCTGACAGTTTGAGGCAATTTTTCATATATTCTGCATGATTTTGTTCAGAGTAAAAACAACTTTTCCACATTTACCAAATAAAGTTCTAACCTTTAGTAAAATAATTTCATTCTAGTAAAAAATTAAGATTCTCTGCAAAAATGTGTGTAAAGTAATCTTTTCTCACAAAACTCTTATGGTCGGACCTGAGTCATACACATTATTCAGTTACACAAAACAACTGTATTTTATGAACCCGCACTGTCTGACATTTAATCACCTACGTAATAGAGCTAAATGTGTCTCAAATGGCATAGAACATAAGCACAGTGCTTTTGTTTACATTGTTGGCGATGTTTTCCCTGTGCCTGCAATGAAACTGGGATTGAAGAACTAATCCGGCGACTGAATAGAGCGTTACCGTTGAATCTCTAAATAATCATTTTATTCTAAAGGTTGCTATAGAGCAAACAGTCTGGGTAAAAAATAGTGTATGTCATAAAATGTCTGTTGGAATTATAATTAATAATAATACATCTAACTTGTATAGCGCTTTTTTGGACACTCAAAGATGCTTCACAATGGGGAATAAAATACAATAAATTCAAACAGGGGGTTTATGGAAAAAGCTTCTTTGAAAAGATGGGTTTTGAGTCCTGATTTAAAGTTAGGTAGTGAGTCAGACTTTCTAATGGGTAGTGTGAGCGAGTTCCAGAGGGTTGGGGCGGCAATGGCAAAGGCTCTGTCCCCCAAGGTCCGGCGGTTAGTGCGGGTGATGGGAGTGAGGCGGTTGGAATCGGCCGAGCAAAGGCGGCGGGTGGGTTGGTGCTGTTTAAGGAGCTCGGTAAGGTCGGGCGGGGCCAGGTTATGGAGGGACTTGTACGTGAGGAGAATGAGCTTGTATTGAGGGCAATATTGAACTGGGAGCCAGAGGAGCTGCTGGAGGACAGGGGTGATGTGTTCTCTGGACCGGGTGTGGGTGAGGAGGCAGGCTGCAGAGTTCTGGATGTATTGCAGTTTTGGGGATGAAAGGTGGAAAGTTCGTAGTGGAGGCTATTGCAGTAGTCCAGTCTGAGGTAATGAAAGCGTGGATGAGGATTTCAGCTGTTGACTGGGTAAGGGAGGGGCGTGGGCGGGCAATGTTGTGGAGGAGAAAGAAGGATGTGTTTGATGATAGTTGATAGTTTGATGATATGTTTTGTATGAGAGGGTGGAGTCCATTATGATGCCGAGGCTACGTATAGGGGGGTGACATTGTGAATTGATATCATTAAGTGA